TCTCTCTTAAAATTTATATTAGACTTAGTGGCAATTTTAATCATTGAGTTATATCTACTGAAATTGCATCTGCACATTTAATTTAACATACTGAGATATATTTCAGGAAATAAATACTGTAAACCCAAGTTCATACCAATTATAAATTTTGGTCTTTTACGTTAATCTATTGATATCATGGATTCCAAGGGCAATAAATTAGACTTGTTCCACTTAATGAAATAACCAGAATTTACCAGAATAGCCATGTACAGTAATTGTATAAGTTCAACAAGCTTGGTAATTACATTGCATAATGGTCAAGGATAAGATATTTTTGAAGATGCACACAGTTTTTGCTCAGGACTCTGTCTTTCAGAAGAATAATTCTCTAAAAACAGAATGGGGGGAAAAATTGATGCTGGTAAAATACTGGCCAATGAAAAATCTACTTTAAAAATGGTCCAAATGTGGCTGTGGCCTGCAGAGAAAAATACTCCAGGAAAATTCCCCAGTGCAACACAATGGGTGAGGCAGTTGGGAATTAGCTTGGATTATGGCAGACCACTCAATTTTAAGCACCTCTCTCACCTCCCTCCTGGTCACATGATAGAGCATTAGATGCAGACTGTCCCAGGTTTTCTAGTGAATGCATAGATACACAAGATTCAACACAGAATAGGATAACACGCCACACAGGTAGTCTTCGAGTTATGATGGTAGTTGGGATAGGAATTATTGCCCCTAAGCAATGTACTGTAGTTTTTAGGCAAAATATCACATTGTGGAAAGCCTTCAGAAAGTTTTTGATGCCTTCTGAAGCATCCCAAGAATGGCATGCCCACCCTTATCCAAACTCTGCCTTTTGTCCTCATAATGCTTTGGAAAGTCTTCAGAAAGCTGCTGAGGCTCTGAAGCATCGCAAGTATGGGGTGTGCTATTTGGAGAATGGTACAAGCGGTCTCAGAAAGAAGGACTGGGGTAGCCAGCAGCTATCTCAGCAGCCAGGCCAGGTGTGCCTTAGCAGCAGCATGAGGAAGATGGCCATGGTCAATTGGGCAAGTCAGGAGTCATGGGACATAGGGCAGCAGGGGCTAAACAACCAAATTTTGATCACGTGACCATAGAAGTGCTGCAACAACTATAACTTGGGGGGGGGGATTTGTCCTGTTGCTGAATCATAACTTGAGGACTACCTGTACATTACTTTGTTACACTGAAGAAAATATAGCACTACCTAATGCCTACTGTTGTAAAAAGGCTTAGAAAGAATTCTAGAAATTATGCTGTGCACACTTTATCTTATTCAAGTTAAGCTTTTGTTGTACCTTCGTTCTTGGTTTTTTTTTTTAATGCTGTTTGTAAGCCTCCCAGAGTTTCTTGACAGTGAGATGGAGGGCAGGACATTTAAAATATTTTGGTGGACCAAAGTAGAGTTGTTTCGTTCAGGTTGGTATTTTTTTCCGCATGAATGAAAGCCTATATATTTCTCCCAAGATAATGTTGCAGAATCCAATCTGGGTTGGTCATGGGGACCAGAGGTTTAGTCTTCCAAGCTTTCGGACTCATCCAGAAGCCTATCCTCAGGGAACTTCTCTCTAGCAGCATGTGTGCTCTAGGCTATTTTGTGTGTGGTATTTATATGGTCTCTGATTGTGTGTGGCTTTTTAGTTGTTGATTGGAGTGTTGATGGCTGGTTATTGACTTGTTCTTGGCTGTTGTTTCCTTATGCTGCCAAGCCCTCACCTCCTAATTACTTGATTTTTTTCTGTTGTGTGCACAGCCTCATCTACTAGAACTCAAGTTTGTTAGTATATGCTATATAATCTCTCTATATCTTCATATTCAGTGACTGAATATAAGCAAGATAAAATTATAAAGAAGACATTCTGTATAAATTATAAAGAAGACAATCTGAAACCTTTCAGTAGTACACAAAAGATGTTTTAGTGTTTTGGAAACTTTCTGGCAGAAGACAGATAAGTGAGAAACTGTGCTGCAGACAGGAGAGGAAGGAAGAGAAAACTAATACCCCCCCCCCAGGTTTTAATTAAAATTGGAATTTGTAGCAAGAAAAAAAATATTCTAGGTAAACACACTGAACGAAGGAAACATTTGTTCTAAGTGTTGTTTAGAAGAATAGGGGGAAAGTGCTAACTTTTTTCTATGTTTTTAAGTTTAATATTTGTAGTTATTATTGTATCTTTATACACTCAGATTTTGTGTGCTTTATGCAAATTGGCATCTCTCTACATCAAAGTTGCTTCCACATAGGACAAGATCAGCATCATTTTGGTATCTATTCAGAGTCTTATCTTTTCCTGTACATTTGTCTATTGTAGGTTCTTTTAAGATATTTGTCAGTGATTTGAATAGCAATATATCTTTGTCTTCTCTACCATTTGATGATTTTGGTATGATAATATCTAAAGTTAAAAGTAAATATATATTATTTTTTTTAAAAAAAGACGTTTAATTCTACTTATCTCTTGTGAAATTGGCCTACCTCCCCACAAAGGAGGATGGGCTGATTTGCCTAGTCACGCACTTCAAGATTGCAGGAGCAGAGGCCGTGCTTTAGAACTGATTTCATTTTTCATTTTTTTCCCCTTTTGCCAATGTTTAGACTGTGAAAATCCTGCCTTTTTCATAAAGTAGGTTTAATGGAATTACACCAGAAAGAGGTATCCACTTGAAAAATAAGATGGCAGCAGTAATTTCCAAGCTACACAGCAAGAGGAAATGGAGCTAGGTGTATAGTCTCAAAAGGTCTCTGGGGTTTGAGACTTCCAGCCTTTCATTCTATAGACTTAATCATGATGATCCCACAACAGTTTAAAAAAAGAAGAGTAGTAGTATATGTTTCTCATGGAGGGAAGTTCACATTTTAACCATCTGGACATTCCTCTGTTATCTGTTTATAGAACAGCTTCTCCTACACAGGAGCAATGAATAACTAAGAAAGCCTTAAAGGCTTGGGTGATGAACTGAATTCTAAAGAATCTTCTAAACAAAATAATCCATTTGCTTAGATTTCCGTAACTTTCCGTAAAAATGTTAGCTTTTTAAAAATGGTGGAAGAATCTTTCTTTCTGTGGAGGTGGGATGGTGAAGGACTCTTATCAGGACAATCTGTCAAGTGTTTGAGTATCTTCTGCTGATTTTGAAACTAGTATTTTAGAAAAATTGAGTAAAGTTTGCAGTTGGTGATTAATGATATGTCTTTATCAGGAGAACCTAACATTAAAGGCTTCCAAGTTCCATTCCCATACTAATTCTCTCCCCCCCACCCCACCCCCAAAAAAAACAAGATATAAAAACTTGGTCCAGCAAATCAGCAGATTAAGAGGCAGGCCCCTTTATTTCAAAAACTGTGCACTTCTTGACTAGGTGATTCAGTATATTACTTCTGATGGTATGATTCTTTTAAGATTTCTGTTGTAAATTATTCCATACATTCATAGCTAGTAAGGTTGAGTATCCTTGGAAAATGAATAAGAAGTTCAGATGGCTTTCATGTGACACAGCATCTCTAGAAGCTCACTGCTTCAAGGAGCTGGTTAATTTAGGTTTTGCAACTTTTAAAACAGTTACAGCTGTATTTTACCTATAAAAAGGGTAATGGATGCATGAACAGTTGCTCACCTATGAAAGGGACAGTCTTCCTTTGAAATATCCTTTTGGAATTTTTAAATAAGACATTTAAAAACATCCAAAACTACAGCTTGCCCTCATATCTAACTCTTTAATGCTTTAAATATCGGAACCGAGCAACACTTCTATTAAATTTAAGATTGGCACTGTCCTAGTCACTAGAAACTGATTTTAAAAATGACAGAGTTCATTCTTTCATGGTTTACTTTCCTGCAGATTCTCCTTGCAGCCATTTTTCTCCAAGTAGCTGAAATATCTCCCGATTACCAACTGCCAGTTTAGAGATGAGTTATCTACCTTTGGATTAGCTGCCTTTGACAAGTGTAAGGCAGCATACAAATAAAATAGTTACAACTATATAAAACAGAGAGCATCAAGCAAATGAACAAATCGTAACTGAAATCTATTTGACGGAAAAGCATTTTGCAATCCTCCTAGAAAGACACTACAAAGAGAAATGAGATTTGTAGAATAACTGAAACGTTACAACCATGCAGTTGTTGTAGTTGATACACTGCTATACAGTAGCATTCATAACAAACTATGGTGAGATGATGCTGCAGGTTTTCCAATTCTGTTTGAAGCTCGCTATACAATAAGACTACTCCAGAACAAGGTAATTGGTTTCTACTGTTGGAGTAGATACTTTGAGGAGTAGATACTGCAGAGAAAAAGAATTGGATGTGTATATAATGTTCATATAATGGGCACATGTTCTGATGTAACTTTACCGTTTCATCCCACAAGGGAAGTGGTTGCAACAGAGGGTAAAGTATTTCAGCATAGATACATATTTTAAACTCTGTGTCTATTGTTAGTGAATTGACTCAGTAAACCACCTCCTCTAGATTTATATGACCAAAATAAGGTCAGAAGGCTTTGATAACTACTTTGAGTCATCAGGAGTCAGTGTGGAAAGTAATAGTTAGTGTGTTGGATTAAACTGGGTGAATTTTAAGAACTGAGGCTTGCACCTTTTGAGATAACTTTAAACTAATTACTGTCTCTCAGCCTAACCCACCTCGTAGGGTTTTGTTTTATCAGGGTAAACTAGAGAAAGCCAAGCAGACCATCCTGAGCTGCTGATGTGGTGAATTAAAATTTATATCAAAATAGCACTAGTGCTATTAAATAGTACTAGTAATCGTCATCAGCATCTGGCTCATGCTAAAAGAACGGATGTGTGAAGTCTCCATAACAGGAAGAGTGTATTAACTAATTTTGGAGTTTGTTGAAGAGCCTACTGATGCATTTTCTATAGAATAAGACAGTGCACACCCTTTGAAAAAAGTGTTTTGTAATACAGGGGAATGTGTCCAAAGCAACTTCTGAATAAATAAAGAAGCTGTGACTTTTTTTTTTTTAAGATTTGCCCCATTGCTTCATAAGCTGTTTCCAGCTGTCTTCATGTGTTCGTGTGTGCACAGCCATTTTACTTCACTGGGAAGAAAGGAAGGAAGGAAGGAAGGACCAGAATGCTGCCCTTGTCTCCACCTTGAGTCTTCTAATCGGACATGCATAAAATTGCATTGTAATACTATTTGCAGTTGAAAAAAATAATAAAACTGAGTTAAAAGTCTTTGAGCCATTTCCTAAAATGTAAGAAGCAAGCAAGGAAGCCTCAACTTGTTATATTATGTTCCACAATATACAGTAGATGGTTAAAAATGAATACACTAAAATCCCTAATAGAAAACAAGTGAAGAAAAACTCTTGAAAGCACATATAACACATATATTTTCAACAGTGTATGCAAACCACCCCCTAGCCAGGAGCATGATGGAACAGCGAGGTCTTCGGGGCTCTCATGAAGGCCTGCAGAATTGGAGCTAACCATACTTCAGAAGTTGTTCCTGTTCCAAAGGACACAGAATGTACACCTTGTGGATCCAATAAGATGGTATTGTTTATTAGATGGACTAAAATACACTAATCCTGTTGTATCTTATGGGTCAATGAGCTAGAAATGGTTCCTATACTAGACCCTATACAGGTAGTCCTCAACTTACTACCACAATTGAGCCCCAAATTGATGTTGCTAAGTGGGAAATTTGTTAAGTGAGTTTTGCCCCATTTTACGACTTTTCTTGTTAAGTGATTCACTGCAGTTGTTAAATTAGTAACACAGTTGTTAAGGGAATCTGGTTTCCCCATTGACTTTGCTTGTCAGAAGGTTGCAAAAGGTGATCACATGAACCCGGGACACTGCAACCATCATAAATGTGAGTCAATTGTCAAGCATATGAATGTAAATCACATGACCATGTTGTAACTTTGAACTGTCACTAAGTGAACTGTTGTAAGTTGAGGACTACCTGTACCATAAAAGGCTTTATAGATGGTAGATTAGACAGAACCTAATTTGAGTATCGGAAAACTATTCTGATATTTCTATGCTAAGGGTGTAACTTAGCTTGATTCTTTATGGATATATTGGATTATAACCACCTGTGCCCCCACTGTGCAGTATTTTGAGTTTGGTTCCAAAAAGTGCTTCAGAATAAACCTGGGATCAACCTGCAAATCTTTAAAGCAAATGCATCTTTTCCTGGACGTGCATAATTGCTGTCTATAGTTGCTGAATAAATAGTCTCAATTGGTTTTGAGAAAAGTTGCAATTGCTTTAAGTGGAAGGATACCACAGAAGACATATTTGTGCTCTGAGGCTCTTTTTGTCGAATCAGTCCCTTCAGGTTGGGAGGAATGGGAGTTGTGGTCTATTATTTCTCTTGGGAACCAGATTCAGGAAGGCTACCAGTAAGTAAATGACATGAACACCAGCCAATCTTACTTTTCTTTTTGCTTTGCTTACTATTTTACTTCATCTATGGAGAACTGAAAATTATAGTCCATTTTGTATCAGAGATCTAGCCTAATAAAAATATTTCTCTAATCAACGTGTCTATTTTGGGCTGTGTGCGTATGTGTGTTTGTCCTTGTTATTCTACTAAAACATTTGGGAATGAATATATCTGGAGTAGTGAAGCTGTCATTTTAAACCGATACTAGAGTACAATTTCTGTCAGGATTATGAGAACTCCATTCAGCAACATCTAGAAAAACATTGTATCCTATCTCTCAAATGTATTTATTTATTGTATTCTTTGGGGCAGCAGAAAGCAAGTCTTTGTGTCTTTTCTATTAGAGCTTTTCAGATATTTGGAAAATGTTATTATATCCCTACTCAGACTTCTTTTATCCAATTCCACATATTTTCCTATAACAATTATATGCAGTAATAACACAGAGAATGTATAATGTTTACATAGGAATGCTCCATAAAGTGGGCCACATTTAATACGATTATTAAAGGCTTTAATTCTTGGCACAGTGAAATGTCTGGGGACCATTTCAGTTTCTGATTATGCAAAATCAGCCTTTGGAAAGAACACTTTTATACGTTGAAATTGTTAAAACACTTTTATTACTTTCATTGCAATATCAACTCTTCTAGCCACGACAACATATGGGACAATTTTTCTAGGAGTTTAGCTTAGTACAACTTACTTTATGAAATTTTTCCTCTCTCTCCCTGCCTCTCTCAAAATAAATGAGAGGACCTACTGTATACTATGCGGTCATTGGCTCTGCAGTCTAGAAGCCTTTCAGGAAAGCTGGAACTTTGGATCCATTAGGTGCCTCACACCCAAAGAGAATCTATATCTGCAGTGGTTTCCATGGGTTTAGAAACTGACTAGCAAGGCTCTTTTCATCTGTAGAGGAGCTTCAGGTAAAATCCAATTCCTTGCACTAACCAAATCCATTCCTGCAATACAATCCTGTCCTAATAATTTTTAGGTTTAGATTTGTCATGAGAACATTGTATATATTAAAGCATCGTGTACTAAAATGGGTCACCAACCTTTTGGACCTCAAGGACCACTAATTCGTAATTTTAAATCCCCCAGACCACTAATATGAATCCAGAGAATCTCAATGTCGTCCTAATGTTGTGAATATTTTTTTTTCAATTAGCAATCTACCTGAAGGATATATGTACCTTTTGGAAGAGAAAGGGGAAGTTCAGATAGAAACCCCTTTTCTGTTCCCTTAAAAGCAGAACTAGAAAAAAGGAATTTTGTAATTAACTTTATTATCTTTACCAATCCCTCTAACTGGTCTATTAAATTGTGCCCTTTCGATATTTATAAAATGCTTGTTTTAGATCAGGGGTGTCAAACTCAAGGCCTGCAGGCCAGATTCATCCCAAGGGGTGCTTAAATCTGGCCCGCTGGCCCCAGCCTGAAAATAGCAAAGGACTGGCCTGCGATGCCTCTGGCAAACAAAACAAGGTGCAGGGGTGAAACACCCATCTCACATAGTAAATCATTTGGTCTTGCAAAATGGTAGCAGGTTCTTACCACACTCGTATCAATCTTGAGTTTTGTCCATCCCCCACGCCTGCCCTGCCCCATCCGATCAGTCACGTTACCAAAGGCTTTTTCCCTTTTCTGGGAGAAATAAGATACAAAGATACAAAGAAAGTGTTAAGCAATTCCACCATCTCCTTATTGTTGTCATTATTTCATGGCCTACATTGAGCAACCGACTCATAGTTTCCCTGAGTTTTATTTTAGAAATATACATTTTTCCAATTATGGAGTCCTTGGTGCTCTCTGAGCTCAATTGCTTGCTTGCAAATGTTTCCTTATCCAACTAGGTAACATCAGTGCTAGTGATAGAGATGAGTTACACTTACACACTATTCAAAAGAGACAATAAAAAACTTAGAAGGAATACATTCTCCCCAGCAGCCAACACCCATATAAGCAGAATGAATAGCACACAAATAATCAAGCAGAAAACAATACTGTAATCAAGGAACTACCCTGGAGAAAACCACACCCCCACCAGCTCTGACAGGGCAAGCTACTGTAAATAAACAGGAAGCAAACTAGCACTGATGATGTTATCTAGTCAGGTAATGAAATGTTTGCAAGCAAATAAACCAAACTCAGACAGCATCAAGAACTCCCAGTTCAAACCTGAGCTATATATATTCTCTTCTATTGAATTGTTTTACATACTTTGCTAATTTAATCTCATTCTGAACATTTGGTTTCTTGACATCCTTACAGTCTGTTGTTACCAGTTGGGATTCCATTTTAGTAAATTAGTCTATTTTCATTTTTTATATACAGTATCTTCTTTTTGCTTCTACTTTTTTCACTGAGCTTTTTGTTCATTCATAGGCAAGCAGATAGATGGACAGACACTGTGCCTTCAAGTCAGTCTTGACTCCTGAGTACTGCCCAGAGAAGTCAACACAGTTCTCATGGCAAGAGTTTTGGAAGTTTTTTCATTCTTCCAAATGCTATGTTTTATGCCTAAGGCAGGATTAAAATTTATAGTCTCCTAGTTTCTAATTTAGTGCCTTTAACCATTATATCAAACTGGCCCTTTGTTCATTTTTCCTCTTCCATTTAATCCTCTCTTTCTCAGAAAGTGCTAGGACATTTATACCTACATATATAGTCTACAGTTTTCTTGGTAGGGTTTTTCAGAAGAGATTTGCCATTGCCTCCAACCTAGGGCTTAGAGAAAGTGACTAACCTAAGGTCACTCTCTGTGCCTAAGATGGAACTAGCACTTACAGTCTCCCAGTTTGCAGCCTGATGCCTTAGCTCAGTGGCCCCTACCCTTTTGGGTGCCAGGGACCGGTTCTATGGATGAGGGAAGGGGGGCTTGGTTTCATGTACTGCCTGGATCTTACATGTATGCAGATGGGGCTTTGCTCGCTTGCATTTTCTTGGTGGGCTGTGGACCGGTGTGGTCTGTGGCCTGGGGGATGGGACCCCTGCCTTAACTACTACACCACCATAAAGACCTTTAAGGGATTGTTCCTGCCTGTTTTTTTCCTATCTCATTTTTTAGGATCTTCCAATCCTCTTCAACTAGTTTATTCTTCATCATTTTACATCATTTTACATCATGATACATTTTACTCAGATTAACTAAAGTCTACCTTCCTGAAGCTCAAGGTATGCAGGCACATACTCTCAGCTCTTCCCTTCTCCCTTAGGTGCTTTCTTTGCAGGTGTTGACATTGTAATTGATTCAATCAATTCCACATTGTTATTCAGTATTGGGCGAGACTGGGGATCTCTTTGTTTCTTCAACTTTTAAAAAAATGCAAGTACTAGCAAAAGAGATATCTGTTGGACAGGTGACTCAGCTTTCCAGCAGATATGAGAGCTGAAGTCTCATTGAGGTGATCCTGCACTCCTGAGAACTTGGTAAGTTAATTTAGAGATATATTTCGGGTACAGTGTAGAAATCTCCCACAACTATAGCACTGTTCTTTTTAACTCCCTTTAATTTTACCCCGATTCTTTCAGCAATTTCCTGGAAGGAAAAAATGTACATGAATAAAGTCTCCTAGACATCTATCATTCCTATATAAGCATTACATTATTTATATTCTGCCTTAGTATAGATACATAAAAGTAAATCATGTAGGTCATATATACACAGTAATATGTGATGCTTATGTAATTCTGCCTGTGCCTACTTAAAATACTTGTACGCTGCTGCCCCCTACAGGATAAAAGAGCAAACTGGTATTTTCATATGTAATAAGATTGCAAAAATCGGTGATGTGCAAGAAGGCAAAGAAGAAAAAGACTAAGGGGCGAACAGCTCCAAATAGATCTAGTGTCAGATCTCGTCTCCTCCTTTTTATGGCAGCATCAGAATGCTGACATCTAGCATATCAACTTGTAATGAAATAGAATATCTTGAAAAAGGGAGTGCTGAATAATTGGCCAAGTGTACTAGAAGCGCCATATGCTCTTGAGTAATATTGTAGTAATATAAAGTGTAGCAGAACTTAAGTTCCCTATTTTATACCCGTAACAGTGTTGGAAGGGATCTTGGAGGTCATCTAGTCCAACCCCCTTCTCATGCAGGAGACCTGAACTAAGGATTCGAACCGCCGACCTTTCTGACTGACAAGCTCAGTGTCTTAGCCGCTAAGCCACCTAGTCCGAAGTCTAAAGGCACTTCCATTTATTATTCTCAAATATACTTTTCTTGTTTGAGAAATGAGGACGGTGAGCCTTGGAAGCCGCTCCGAAGTGGGACCTGTATGAGGTGGGAACGGCACTATTTGCCCAAGGGCACTATTTGTCCAAGGAGCCCTGGTAGCGCAGCAGACTAAAGCACTGTTATTAACACCAGCTGCCTGCAATTACTGCAAGTTCAAATCCCACCAGGCTCAAGGTTGACTCAGCCTTCCATCCTTTCAAAGGTAGGTAAAATGAGGACCCAGATTGTGGGGGCAATAAGCTGACTTTGTATAAATATACAAAAAGTATGATGGCTATTGCTTAACGCATTGTAAGCTGCCCTGAGTCTTTGGAGAAGGGCGGCATATAAATCAAATCCCCCCCTCCCCCCCCCCAAAAAGGCAACTTGACATCTGGGCTACGTTATACAGGACCGGTTGAAAGTGGGAAGACGTCACCTCCCTGGATGACAGAGCAGCTTTCATCTTGCATGGCTGAATCGGGGGCACTGCGAAAAATCCGGACAGCGTTCAGATGTCAGCACAAAAAGCCGTGGCCTTCCGAAGTTCCGCAGCCCTTACAGCCCATAGCCCAGTGTTTCTCAACCTTGGAAGCTTGAAGATGGGTGGACTTCAACTCCCAGAATCCCCCAGCCAGCGCTGCTGGCTGGGGGATTCTGGGAGTTGAAGTCCACCCATCTTCAAGCTACCAAGGTTGAGAAACACTGCCATAGCCTTACCTGCCTTTCCTCAGAGCAACTACATCTCCCGAAGTGCCCCGCGCGATCCTAAAATGGATTCCCTTCCGGCAGGGAGGCGACACTAAGAACAAGGGTGATTCCCCGACCTGGAGGGCGTTTGAGTAAGGAAGGGAATTGAAGCGGAGAGCTAAAACGGAAACGGGTTCTCCTGATAAGAGCGGCTGGCGAGGGCCGGTTCCGGGTGTCACTTACTTGGCGACGGAGGTGGAAAAAGAGCAGGGGGGAGGGGGTGGGAAAGGAGGAGAAGAAGATGGCGTCCGACATGGAGACAGAAGTGCAGGCCCTTGAGAGAAGCTTGCTCGAATGTTCCTCCGAGGAGATTGCCCGGGTAAGGCCCGCTCTCTAGAAAACAGCGGGCGGAACCTGCCTCTGCCCGCGGGGCTCCAAGCGACGCGGGAGCCGGGCGAGGAGAAGCGAAAAACGGACGGAGACGCTAGACAGGTGGTGTCGGAACTGGGTTGAAGCAAAGGATGGTAGAGGAGCGCCGAAAGGAACAGGGCTGCCTGTGGTTAGAAGAAATAGGCGGGTGGAGGGGAGGAGATGGCGGGGGTCTCCTCTCACCTGGAGAGGTGAGCTCATCCAGGGAGCTTCTGAGCGTGAACAGGTCGCATCGAGAGAGGGAGACATTCAGTAGATAGGTGGCAGAAAAGAGGGCTGTATCCTTAACCACCAAGGTAAGAAAAGCGGTGACTTCCCTTTGGGAAGAGAATGAGGAGGCAAAATTGGTTACAAAAGAGACGATTTGGAGGACGGAGGGAGATGGTTTCGACTCCTTAAGCGTTGATCTGCTAAGGAGATCGTAAAATAAAATAAAAAAATAAAAATCATTTGGTGAACCTAGGCAGTGGCTCAGTATATCCTAAGTATATTCTAGTCTTGGTTGGGCCGCTTGGGTTGAAGAGTTGACTGAGAACTGAGCCCTCTCAATGAATTGGTAAACGTAGGTTGTTGCCTACAAGCAGAGAATTGAATGCAGTGTTTTGCTTGCTTTATTTTGGAGCGGCAGCAGATTTCAGTTACTGGTCAAGATTTCTCCCCCCCCCAAAAAAACCCCCACCCTATAATATTACTACAGCTGATGACAGTAAATATGGATACAAGGAGAAATAGTCTTTTAACATAGTTGTTTTGGGGTCTTAGTATATGTTGCCCTAGGACAGTGTTTCTCAACCTTGGTAGCTTGAAGATGGGGGATTCTGGGAGTTGAAGTCCACCCATCTTCAAGCTTCCAAGATTGAGAAACATTGCTCTAGGAAGTGGGGAGTGTGAACCAAACATGATTTGAAGTGAGCTCCATTTAGCCTACTTCAAGTCTTACCCCATGTTTTCATTTTCCCACAGTAGAATTTGATTCATTTGATCAACATTTATACTTAATTAACTATGTAGATTATTCCATAAACAGATTCTGCAAGGATTGCTGTATTCGTGTATTATGGAAAATAATAAGCGTTATAATTGAAAGATTAAAATTTAATTACAGTATATTTTTTCATAAATGATACCCTACTTATCCTTTTCAAAGACAGATTATTTCAGTTTACTTCAAAATGTTAAGCATTTAATGGTCTGATACTTTTGATTTGAAAACATTTGAGGAAATGTTAGAAATTGGCTGTTCACCAGCTATATTCCAGTGAGTATAACCTGTGTCATATTGTAGGATTGTAACCTCAATTCATATAGGAAGTGTCAGTTTGGGGAATGCTGATGTAACACAGATCCATAGCACTGTCTAGTGGCAGATTGAATAACCTTTTGTTCTGAATAACCAGAACACAATCTTCTTTTATAACAGTGCCAATGCTGGTTATTTGGCCTATCTTTGGTTATGTGACCAGCCCTAAAGGGCAGATTGGTTGGTTAAATGCCAATTACAAATTTACTGTTTGCCCTGTATTGAAGGATGATTGCTCCCAGATCAATAAACTACTGCACTCATCTTAAATACAGGTAGTCCTCGATTTACGACTACAATTGAGCCCAAAATTTCTGTTGTTAAGTGAGTTTTGCTCCATTTTATGTCCTTTCTTGTCACAGTGGTTAAGTTCACTGCAGTTGATAAGTTAGTAACCCGGTTGTTAAGTGAATCTGGCTTCCCCATTGATTTTGCTTGTCAAAAGGTTGCAAAAGGTGATTCCATGACCTTGGGACACAGCAACAGTCATAAGTAGGAACCAGTTTGCCAAACAACTGAATTTTGATAACCTGGGGATAATACAAAGGTTGTAAGTGTGAGAAATGGTCATAAGTCACTTTTTTCAGTGCCGTTGTAACTTTGAAGTGTCACTAAATGAACTGTTGTAAGTTGAGGACTACCTGTATTGCTATAATGTATGGGCAAATAAATAAAATTCTGCCCTTCCTTAATTTGCTAATATGTATATAGATTGAGAATTGTCCTAATGTGATGGGGTATTATTTTTTGATATCAATCTTTTAAACTATAGATAGTCAAGAAGATTTATATGTTTAAAATAATCAAGAGTTGGTAAATTCTGTTTTGGTTGCTCCATAATTTACTTATTGAGGCATCTGGTTCCAGTTTATTCAGAGTTAAATATTCAGCTATTTGTAAAGGTAATGTTTTAAATATTAGAAATGTGTTAGTGATTATTATGTATACATATGTGTGTGTGTATCTAAAGAGAGAGACAGACAGAAACTAAAGAGGAAGGAGGGGGTTGATTTTCTATGGTCATAGTCAGGTGAATCCTGTTTGCACTGTATCTGTTAGAATACTTGTGGAAACTCTTACTCATAGCGACCAATCAACATTGTTTATTGTTCCTCTAGCATACAAATATTAAATAATATATGGTTGAATATGTATTGTGAAATTTTATGTTTTAAAACATGAAAACATGAAAGTATGAATTAAAGTGTGAAAATATTTTGTATCTTTTACAAACACACACGATGTTGAGTGGAAAATTAAAATTTTGGTATTATAATATTTATTTGGGAGTCTACAACATTAAATCCTTAAGTAAACTTCCATTGCCAAGATTTTTTGAGTAAAATACATACAGTTAACAATAATTAATGTCACACATTAAGCTCCAATGTATTGTCCAATGTAGGACTTATTCTAAATAATGTACAGCATTTCAATATTACATTAACATAAAGCTGAGAAATATTTTAAAAGTGTGTTTTCTGATATATTAATTTTTAAAAAGCATTAAGTATAGGATTACAATGGGATAGCTCAGTTTTCCTGAAATGTATTCTGCAGTTGCTCTTACAGACCTTAGAATGCTTTTATAGCTTTACCTAGTTTTTAAAAAGTGTTAGGTATCCGGTATGCATTATCTAAAAGAAAATGATGACTTGGCATGTTTTTAAGAAGATTTCTCTCATGCTACATATGTAATAAATTTTTCCCCTATGGTCAAGGATTGCGCATGTACTCGTGCACGTTTGTGCATGTTTGCACGCACGCAAAAACACACATGTGCGCGCGCGCGCACACACACACACACACACACACTGAAGGCAGCCAAAGACTGCAAAAAGGACAGTGGTCGTACGGTAATAGTAAAGGAGTTGGGAAGGCTAGAATATTCAGTCATTTTTAAATTTTATTTTGGAATTATAGAAATTATTTTAATAATTATATTAATATTCCAGAAGATTTACACACCAATTTCCTTAGTCCTGAATTTCCTGTTAAAACCTAGTGAGAAATCATCCTGCTGTTATTACTAACATTTGCCAACATTTGAGAATAAAAAGGAACTTAGAGTACTTGTAGTCTTTTCTTGGTACTAAGACAAATCCAATTTATTTTATGACTGAACAAGAATCTTTTAATTATATAATTATTATATAAAAAGAGAATCTGAATTTGGCAAAAACATAGTAGAGGAGAGCTGTGTATATAAATAAAAAATAAAGTTAAACTACCAAAATAACCAGACATCAATTAGTATATTGGAAAAATCATGTTCTGTAATTAGATAGGATGAGATTGTAATAAATGTACATAGATTGAAATAGCATTTTTATGAATGTAGGTCACTTTAATCATCCTTATCTCAATTATACAAAAGTTGCAGTGTTGTGCTACTGAAAGATCAAGGAGTGACAGCAGCATTATTTTTGTGTTTTATCATGATATTCCATAACTTGGTGCTTTATCCTGTTATCCTTCGGATTTTTGGGTTTCACTGAAGTAGTTCACAAGCAGAAACATAGGCAAGGTACACTATTTTATTTTATTTGCATAGAAAGAATAGAATGAATGAGCTGGAAAGGACCTTGGAGGTCTTCTAGTCCAGCCCCCTGCTCAAGCAGGAGAACCTATACCATTTTATATAAGTGACTGTCTAGACTCTTCTTAAAAACATCTGGTGATGGAGCACCCACGATTTCTGGAGGCAACTATTCCACTGGTTAATTGTCCTCACTATTAGGAAGTTTCTCCTTAATTCCAGGTTGCTGCTACTTTGATTACTGCCATTTTTTTTTGTCCTGCCCTCTGGTGCTTTGGAGAATAATTTGTGGCAGCCCTTCAAATACTGGAATACTGCTATCATGTCACCCCTAATTCTTCTTTTCTTTAGACTAGCCAAACCCAAATCCTGCAGCTGTTCTTCATATGTTTTAGTCTCCAGGCCTTCGAACATCTTAGTTGCTTTTCTCTGAACTTTTTCCAAAGTCTCAACATCTTTTTTGTAGTATGGTGACCAAAGTGGTTGCAGTAGTCCAGGTGTGGTCTTATCAGGGTTTTATAAAGCAGTACTAATACTTCACGTGATCTTGATTCTATGCCTCTGTTTATACAACCCAGGATTGTATTATCTTTTTTTGCCTGCTGCTGCACACTGCTGGCTCATATTCAAGTGATCATCCACTAAGACTCCATTTCTTTCTCTTACCGTATTTACATTTTCATTCTTCTTTCTTATTCAAGCTAAATGCAAGTGATGCCTTTATAGGAGAAGGATAAGGGAGATGACCTTGCACAATTTTAAAAGGTTTAAAATAGTTTTAATTTTAATAGGCAGCTATTAGCTACCAATTTGTATGGTTGATCTGTGGCAGAGGAATATTTTTTTGTTTACAGACTATTTTAGTTGCAATAAAAACATAGGAAAAGGTCCAGATGTAAGTTTTGAGAATCTTTTGATTTTGAGCATATAATATTGGAAAATATCTGATGAAAATGTCTGCAAATTACATATATGATCATCATCATTATGACAGCTTGTGACCAGCTCCAAAGACATACGAGTAGTTGCTAAAAGGAAGTATTTACAGAAATGTTGGAGTACCTGGTAATTATCTTGATTTTTAAGGCAATTCTTATGCATTTCTGCTTATAGCTTTATGATAGATTTAACAAGTTTTGTTAAATCCTTAGGAAGATTAAAAAAATAAGTCTGAATTCCCTTTGCTTCAGATTTCTGCTTTTAAATAACATTTATACAATGTATATAATTTAAGGTAAACACACAATTTCTTTGACATTCTTGAAATACAAGAATGTACATAGGTGAGGTGATATCAACTTATGGGTGTACTGAGCACTTCAGTATGTTCAAAATGTTCCTGTGAATTTTGGCAATTAAAGTCAGCTTTAATGTTGAGTTTAACATTTTACAATCCATCAGTAGCTTTTATTACTAAAACTTTTGGGTAGCTGTATCTTATTTTAATGTTATTTTTCCCCCATTTTTTTCTTAAAGAACTGGCTACAAGCATCTGATCTTCCTAAAGAAATATACAAGCACCTAGCCTATTATGTGCCCCAAATTTACTGCAGGGGTCCCAATCCAGCTCCTGAAAGAGAAGATATGCTTGCACAACATGTTCTTCTGGGCCCAATGGAATGGTATCTTTGTGGTGAAGATCCTACTTATGGCTTTCAAAAACTTGAGCAAACAAACAAACCTTCACATCTTTGTGGCCGGGTTTTTAAAGTTGGAGAACCTACCTATTCCTGCAGGTAACTACTAATAATTTATTTTAAACTGTCCTTTAAAATTATCATGTTTACATTGGCATGTTACTAAAATCAGTTAAGTGGTTGTCATGTGTAATATTATTGAAACCATCTTGATAGTATCTTGATAATTTTTTTTTTTATTTATTTATATGCCGCCCTTCTCCGGAGACTCAGGGCGGCTTACAATGCGTTAAGCAATAGCCTTCATTCTTTTGTATATTTTATACAAAGTCAGCTTATTGCCCCCACAAACTGGGTCCTCATTTCACCTACCTTAGAAAGGATGGAAGGCTGAGTCAACCTTGAGCCTTGGAGAGATTCGAACCAGCAGAAATTGCAGGCAGCTGTGTTAATAACAGGGTGCACTAAACCACTGTACTATCAAGGCTCTTTTTTAATTAGAGAATAAATTATTGGTATTCTAATAAAGTTGTATTTTGGAACCTAATAACTATTAGTGGAGAGCACTATGAAAATGGTAATAAAATTAGATCAAATAATTTTTCATGTTGTGCTTCATGGAACATAAAATCTTACATCCTCCTTTTATCAAGCTTCTGACCCATGAGATTCTATGATTATCAGTGTAGAAGGAGCTAACATTTTCTATTGTTTTAAACTCATTTTAACATGAAAAGAAATTAATTACAGGTTTAAAAGCAGTCATCACCCTACAGGAACAGAATATTTTTATTTGTTAGCTAAATAATGGCAAGTGTCATTGAGTTTCCAAAATATTCTATAGCAACAGGTAACTCTGGCTTATGGTATGTAATTTGTCCAAAATGTTAAAAAGATATTGAATTTTGGAAGTAGCGATAGTATCAGGACCAAAAAGACTAAATAACAATGCATAGTTGAATATAGGGTATGGTAAGTCAAATCAAATGTTAGATTATTCAGAAGTTTGTAAAACTTCTTCATGAGTTTGTCCAAGACAGTAAAATATATGGCAAGGGTGTCAAACTCGTGGCCCACGGGCCAGATGCGTCACGTGCTGGTCCCACTCCCGCCCAATTTAGCAAAGGGGGAAAAAGTCCCAATAGTCACGTGACAATGCCGTTACAACGTGGGTGTGACACCCCTAATGATGATCTTGATGGTACAATATTAACTTAATGGTTTTAAGAAATTGCTATAGGTTTGGAAAACTCAAAGTCATTCATATAATGATAATATTTCAGGAGTTTTAGATAACATCCAGGCCAAATTGAAATTCAAGAAATGTTTTTAATTGAGTATATGTCATTTTCCAGTTTTACAGAGTTTAAACTCTTCCTGTAATAAACATCTTATTTAAAGTATTTCAGGTAGTCCTTGATTTATGACCATTTCTTTAGTGACAATTCAAAGTTACAACAGGACTGAAAAATTGACTTATGACCATTTTTCACAATTACAACTTGCCACATCCCGTGGTCTTGTGGTCAAAATTTGTACACTTGGCAATATAGTTATGATGGTTGCAGTGTCCCAGGGTCATGTGATCATATTTTACGACCCTCTGATGAGCAAAGTCGCATTAAGTTAACCATGTTACTAATGTTAACAACTTAATAATTGTGGCAAGAAAGGTTATAAAATGGGGCAAAATTGACTTAACAATTGTCTTGCTTAGCAATGGAAATTGTTGGGCTCAATTTTGGCCATAATTTTTTTTTAAATTTGATTTATATGCCGCCCTTCTCTGGAGACTCGGGGCGTCTTACAATGCGCTAAGCAATAGCCTTCATTCTTTTGTATATTTATACAAAGTCAGTTTATTGCCCCCACAACTGGGTCCTCAATTTACCTACCTTAGAAAGGATGGAAGGCTGAGTCAACCTTGAGCCTTGGCGAGATTCGAACCTGCAGTAATTGCAGGCAGCTGGTCTTAATAATAGGGTGCTTTAGACCACTGTACTACCAATTTGTAATAATGTTTTATGTTTTTTAAAAAATCTGTTTGTTATTACCTAAAATATTGTCTATTTCACAAGTTGCCAGATTTTTTCATAATTTCATGACATAAATAGTTAAAAGTACTGCTGCTTATTCTTAGAAATGGATGACTGAAGGACAAAAATCATTAGTGCAAATATATATTCAATATGTCTAATCCCCTCTCCTCATTCTTTCTCCTTTACTCCTATTTTGTTACCCTTAGCTAATGAACAGGATTTCCATGGATATAGAATGGCCTGAATTACTTCCATTGTATTTATTTTCTTGAGCATTTGAAGTATTTTTGTGCATTTCCTTTTCTTTTTTCCTCCTTCAGAGACTGTGCAGTTGATTCAACTTGTGTATTATGCATGGAATGCTTTCTGGGAAGTGTTCACAGGGAGCATCGATATAGGGTTAGTAAGTTTGTCTATTTAGTGTTGTTGTTCTTTTTTACTTTTGCTTTTGCTTTATAGGGCTGTGCAAATCATTGCTAGACATTACCAGTAAAACCAAAAAAATACTACCCTAAATACACTGAAATACTTGTAACTTCCAAAAGGCTCACTGAGGCTATTTTGAAAACTAGAAGTGTGTAGTATTTGAATCTTAAGAGTACAAGGATCATGCATGACCACCTTCACTATACCATAAGCTGCTTTTTAAATAAGATGTTGCAAGGCATGAGAAAGGTGGCATTCTTTTAAAGAGTAACTGATAGGTATAATGAGGGTGCCCCTGCCAGATCTGAAAAATGCTTTTGCACATCAGATTCAAATTCTGCACATCTGTCAAAGCCCTTCTGAGATCAACTACATATAATGCTCATACACTGAAGACATTTCTATGAGTACTTCTGTTTTGCTTTGCTGTCAGTTGTGGCAAAAATGTTTTCTGGAATCTATCTACAGATGACTTGAGAAGGCCCCTTAAATAACTGAGCAGAACTTTCTGGAGGACACTGCTGCCTCAGTGTTTCAAGACATGGCATTTAACTTGTGATACTGTGTGACTAAACAGTCCTCCAACAAATGATTTGTCCAGCTATTGTATCATAATTCATAATTTCAGCAAATAAAATAACTAGAAATTAGGTGGAACTCACTTAATACTGCCTTGCTTAGCAATCAAAATTCTGGTCCCAATTGTGGTCGTAAATCAAGTTAAGAACGACTGTTAATGTGAAGAAAATGGGTAGGAAAGATCCCCTTCCCCTCTTTCCCATAACATTAATGTTCAACTTCTGCTCCATGAATTTAAGCTTGGATTCTTCACACAGCAGTTATCTTACAATTCTTCCCTAGGGAATGATAGGGCTAAGGAACTGTAAATAGTTATTAATTGTTGAACCAATGTTTATTTGTGTTTTCATTTGACCAGTATTTTTCCATTCTTGCACATTTTAAATAATACTTTAGATGACAACTTCAGGTGGAGGTGGGTTCTGTGACTGTGGTGACACTGAAGCTTGGAAAGAAGGCTCTTACTGCCAGAAGCATGAACACAGTACTTCAGAAACAGAGGAGGATGAGGTAACAAGATGTGTTATCTAAATCAGGGGTTGCCAACCTTTTGGGCCTCAGGGACCACTAAATTCATAATTTTAAATCCCACAGACCACTAATATGAACTTTTAAAAAAGATAAATAGTATTTAGTGAAATATAAAAAATGCAAATGATTTGGGGGGACTTTTTAATAATACTTTTATTAAACATTTCAATTAAAAAAGTTTTAGAAACTGAAAAAGTGTACAGAAAATAAAAAAGAAAAAGGAAAACAGGAAAGAAAAAAATAAGAATATAGTAGAGTAAAAGAAAAGAAATATGCAAAGAAATAACTTCCCCTTTCATCATGTGTAAACAATTATAGTAACTTATCATCATCTCTTAAAATATAGCAAATGATTTCTTTTCCCCATATCCTATCTCTTATTTATAAACAAATCAATAAAACATCATTTCAATTCTGAGGTCAGCAAAAGTCCAGTGATGGTCTTAAAATAAATACCTATTTTAACCTTGATCAAATAAATCCACATTACATTCCTCCCTTTTTACTTTTAATAATTTTATCCATAATCTCTTCATATAATTTGATTTCTTTTCATTTTTTTTCTTTGTACTTACAAAATCCTTCAAAATTTTAACAAGTTTCTTTTTTAAATCCAATATAGGAAAGCTATCCAGGTCACTCTTGATTTGTCATTTGTATATTCCTTTTAATTTTTAATATATCAACCAGTTTAATTTATATACCCAATGTAGAATCTTTTTCTGTACCATTATTGTAGCCTATCATTTTTAAATCCACTTTCAAATTATTGCTCATTTGCACCCTAATCCAGTAAAACTTGTTCATCTTCTATAGCAACTTTTAAAAACAGTCTCTAATATGGTAGACATTCTTAAGGTTAAGATTTACTCATAAAGTTGGGTCCACGGTTCACAAATATTATTCACTATGTCTAGTGTCAAAGTATTTTGCTCCAGTCTGTATTAGTAAGTCAAATTTAACTATACTTCTCATTTAATTGAAAAGTACAAAGAACTAATCTTTAGTTTCCTCTTGTATCCAATTTTTCCAAGTCCTATCCTGTTACTTTTGATTAAGAATTCAAAACAAAAGCATTTTTCCATAGGAAGGATTCTTATAATTAATTTAAAAATCTGATATCCATGTCGACTTTTAATCATTTTTAATTTTCCAGAATCACACTTTTGTTGTTTATTCTAAAAAACATGTTTAAATCTTTAAACTTGTATTTAAAACTTCTTTCATTAAGGATTGAAGTAAACTCACCCAGTGTTTTAAAACCTGTCAATCCAAGGGTTACTACTAATAGATGAAAAGCAGTTAAGCAAATTTCTAAAAGTGATTAACAAAAGAGGCTTGATGAACTTTATGCCCATATAGGCTGCATTACAGCTGTGAGCTTGATTGAAATTCCGCAACTCCCAGTGCTCGACTCAAGAGTCAATCACAAAAACCCCGTTCCTGCAGTCCACTCACAAGGGCAACCTCACAATGTCTCCATTTTCTGGAGATCTGTCTGATCACTGATTTCCACAATTCTGTTGCTGCTCCTTCAGAGATGTCTAAGTTTACTTTGAATCCTCAGGAGAAAGTCTTGTTTTTTGTATTTTTAATTTCAACAGATTCCCCTTTTGTGGAAATGATCCATAATAATTCTGTCTTGGTAAGAGTATTCAATTAATGCAGGCCTGTCAAATTGGTGGCCCGCGGGCCAGATGTGTCATGCTCAGGCCACTCCCACCCTGGCTCTGCAAAGGCAAAAAAGTCACTATACGTCACATGACGCAATCGAGTTTGACACCCATGAATTAATGGAAGCTAGAGAAAGACCAGGGGAAATGTTTGCAAGATTCTTATATAGCATGTCACCACTATGTTTTCATACCTATGAAAAAAATTGTCCTAAGATTAAAAAATCCAGTTAGTTTATCCTGAAACATCTAGAAATACACATTGATTAATATGAATCATAAAAATAGTACCAGAGCTGTTTTATTTTGCCTAAGGTAATAGTTGTGTTTCCTTTCTTCCTCTTCCCTATTTTTTATCGGTTTATCTAAATCTTGTTATTAACATATATCTGAATTCTTTTATATCTTATTTGATTCTGAAAGATAGAAAAGGAATAAAGAAAGCATAGTGAATGTTACATAAATATTCAGAAAACCATGAAATGAAATATTCAAATTCATTTGAGTATATTCACAGTCAATATTAATAAGTCCCCAAAGATAATTCCTGTAGAATATCACGGTAGAAAAAACAAAGAAAATTTCATGGTATAATAATATTTTCACTGTTTTTATTTTAGGATCCTATTGTCCGCTTGCCAGAAGATATGATAACGAAAGTGTATGGTATTTTTGCAGTCATGTTTCAGTATGCTGTAGATATATTAACATGGGAAAAGGAAAATGAACTGCCACCAGATTTAGAAACGACGTAAGTAGGAAACCAAATTCCAGCATTTGATTCCTAGTTTTACTAAGACATTATTATGATTGTTCTTTTAAATAGTAAAAGAAAAATGTATTATACAGGAGTTATTTGTAAAAAGTGACTTGAATTGTAGTGACTTCATGAATGGCATGAATTTACCTCAGAATTATACATTCAGCTTCTTATGTCACCATAAAAGACTTACTGAGTGACTGTGTCCAAACAAGCAGGTAACCAAATCAAATTCCAAGAAGGTCTTTTCAGCTAGAGTCCGGATTTGATAGCAGTCTTCATGACCGGGCATTGTCTTTACTATTATTGCTCCTTAATTACCAGCAGTCCCTTAACCTGCCAGCATCCAGGATTTATCAGCTCTGTTGTTGTTTTTCAAGAATTTACTCTTGAGTCTTGTCAAATTTAGAATTATATTTTATACAATCAACATATAGCAGAATCAGGCTGGCTTTATCTAGGCTTAAAAGTCAGAATTGGGCTTAGCTAGTCATTTGATGGGAGACCACCCAAGCTTTCTTGGCTGGAGGGTAGCCTAAACAGTTAAAAAAAAAAACCTAGGAAGAAAACAATAGCACTTCTTTATTGTTGGTAGGAAAGTTTAGTCTCTGTACTCAAACCTACATTTTCACTTTTGTCAGTATTTTATTCTGCTTCAGTTTGAACACTGAAGACAGCTAACAGTAAATGAAATGCAGAAACACGTGAATAGCAAAGAGATTTGTCCAGATAAAAAGCCAATACAATTTGTAATGGGTAAGTGTTTTATTGGTATTGCTATATTATATTAATAATAAAAAGCTTTTAATTGTTGTCTTTAATCAACAAGTTGTACTTGTTCTTACTGCATACTTTCTATACAGTACAAATTGCAATAAATAATGGAAAATGATACCAAAAATACTTTAACTGACTGAAATGACTGAATGTATGGTTTGTGATACTGTCTTTACAGCAAGAAAAATGATACTTATTACTGCATGCTTTTTAATGATGAAGTCCACACATATGAGCAAGTTATTTATACACTTCAAAAAGCAGTCAATTGCACACAGAAGGAGGCCATTGGATTTGCAACAACTGTGGATAGAGATGTAAGTAATTTATTTAAGCTTATTAACTTTTTACTTAGAAACTTATTAATCTTTATCTTATAAATTCCTTGGTATTGATTAAAGAAAACTAGAAGAATATGGGAGTGTGACAATTTCCAGAACAATATTAGAGCATGGTTCAGTGCTTGAGTATTTTTTATTAATGTCCCATTAATAAAAAAATTAAATAATGCAGAGTCTCCCCTGTCTCTTGTGCAGTACAGTATATACTCTATAGCCTGGAGAAATTTGTACTGGATGCCTTCCCAGCCTGAAAAATGTTTGCGGTATACCAAGCCATCATAACTGTGATTTGGGGAAAGCAGGTTCTTTTTTTTAATTTCAGCATACCAAGACATTTGCTTAAGTTTATACTTTATCAAGCACATCAAATGATTTAAAGTGACTTTTGCATACGTAGCATATCTTTGATCTAGTACAAGTAGTCTATACATTTATTATAGCCCCCATTCTACTATCATACTATCACCCAACAATTCTATCCTTTTAATTTATCAATCTTTATCTATATTGGCATGTATTTGTGGTTCCTGGAAAAATCCATAGTTTTATTCATTCTCTTCTATATTTGCAGTTTAAACTATGGAATGTATGTAATTTTCAAATTACAATCATTTGTTTAGCAAGTGTTTGATGGTGATGAAAACAATGACTTCTGGCAGTCTTTGACTTATATCATTGCAGCATCCCCACAGTCATGTGATCTGATTTGGGCACTTGGCAACTGGCATGGATTTATACTATAGTTACAATAACCTGGGGTCACAATGTTAATGAGGGAAGCCATATTTGCTTAATGATGGCACAGTTCACTTAAAGACAATTGTGAGTCGCTTAACAAGTGTTCCAAAAAAAGTTATAAAATCAGACACAACTGACTTAAATGACCAGATCACTTAGCAATGGAAGTCCTGGCCCCAGTGGTGGTCATATGTTGAGGACTACCCATATATGGATTTATATTGTATATAGAAATACATGTGTTTTCATCACTTTGAAACCTACCTGCCATATTTTCCATTATGAAAAAGTTCAGTGGTCCTTATGATGCTTTCCTTTGAGATTTATGAGCATTTACAGATTGAGTGAGGGAAAGAGGGACAATAAGATTGTAACTGATTGTGAAAAGAAGGTTGGAAGTGATTTATATATATATTTTATCTTTAATGTTTTATTTTAATTTTCTTAAACTTTATTTTTATTTTGTTCTTTTGTCTATGATATGAAAATTCGTAATAAATACAAATTTAAAAGATTTATGAGAATTTGTTTGACATATTTTCCTTTTGAAAGAAATTTCAATAGGAAATTTTTTTCATCGTATTGAATAAAACTGGTAGGAAAAACATACAAAGTTATACTTGTGTACAGCTTTAATTTTACCACTAATGTACATAGCCATGTTAGGTATCCATGTATATACCCATTGCAAATATAACATTCCATAGGTTAACTTACTGAATATGCAGTTCTTCAATTTTGTGTATGACTAAATCTATAATCATTTAATATAATTAACACAAGTCATTATTGATGTTTGGCAGACATAATATAATTCAAGAACAGACAATATAGTTGAATTCAGTCTTAAACTATATGGCACCCAAAGGATTTATTAGTTAGCCATTTTGAAACTATTCAATGTGCCATTAAAATGCATTATACAGTCTTTTTTCTGTTAAGAGTCTATTTCATGTCATTTTTAGAGGTGTTATGGAAGTGGAAATTGATGTGGAATTAAATAGTTGGTAGTGAAGCTTTTTCTCTCTACAGTAATGCTTTACCTTTCTGGATTACCTTTTTTCTCTTGCATAGAAGACTATGTGAGAAATGATGTGTAATTATTAAGAGATCTTTAATGATAGTTTACAAGAAAGCTTCTGAATTTAGGTCAACTAATCCCTATTATAAACTTCGAATTATCTTTGAATGACTTGTTAATTGCCATGTGATTTTTTTAATAGGGGCGCAGATCAGTTCGCTATGGAGATTTTCAGTACTGTGACCAAGCCAAATCTGTGATAGTAGTAAGTTACATAGTTTAACTTTCCTTAATTAATAATAAATTATTGGTTCAGTATTACCATCTCACAATTGTAGCCTATCTGTACTTATAACAAAATGCATGTTTAAAGTTGCAAAGAAGAAAATAATTATTCAATATTGGAAAGACAATGACTATACACAGGCAAACAGGAATGAAATATGTTTCATTGGTCCTTTTCCAATTAAGTATATTGGAATAAAAATTATATAAGAATTTAAATTGACATATGATGCTATTCTTTTATCAGTTTGTAAAATAATTCAAAAGAACTTACTGAATTAAAATTGTTCACATCTTGTATTAAAAATTACATCTTGCAAATAATATTTTCCTTAAGTTTTTTTAATGTTTAAGTGAATACATCTTACACAAGGCTTTTTGTATGAAAATGAAACATTTGACTTTTGCACCTTTCTTCTCTTACTCATCTTAAGAGAAGTACTACTCGCCAGACTCGGCCATTGAAAGTTCAAGTTATGCGTTCATCTATTGTTGCCCATCAAAGCTTTGCTCTGAAGCTTCTCACTTGGCTGAGTAACATTATTGGATATTCAGGTACTGGAGTTAAAATATGATCTTAAAAAAAGATCTGTGGTAAAATGTATATGAATGAAAAACAAGAAAATATTTTCTGGCTACTCCAAGATAAGGGTAAATATAAACAAACTGTTCTGATTAATTACAGATTTCTTTTACTCAAAATTATAGAAACCAAAATACTTTAAATTGGAAGAAGTATATAATTGGATTTCTTAATATTATTTTTCTAAAAGAAGCTGCAAGAATATTTTGCATTGAAATTTTATTGTGGAGGGTTTTCTTTCTTGACTATTTGGTGTTCAAAGTCATCTTGCAGAAGGAAAATGTTAAACGCACAATTGTGCCTCATTCATGCCAAATCAGAAATTGTTGACTTGACTTTGACTTCTCTTGTTTATATTATGTGGGGAGAAACTGTGTCCCTTTTTTGCTATTTGACGTAAAGGAAACCAGCAAATATAGTTCAACAGCAGTTGGAAGGCAGCTGATCTCTCCATTTCAGCTATGTAATCTAAAAGCAAATTTAGTAGTATTTCACTTTGAAAATTCTATTGCAAGGCCCATTTTCTTGTTTTGAGATAGGAATCTCTGCTATGCTTTTTTAAACTCTTAGAAACTTGAAGTGTAATTACTATTATATATTGATAGTTTTAATTTAAATAGGCAATGTAAATACTTCCAGTGCTAAGATTCTAACTATTAGTGATTAAGTCATAAGTATAACAGAATTAAATGTATATGAAACTTGATTATGGAAGCAGACCAATACCCCCTTTTGACTCTTCTCTCTTTTTTAATTAGATGGTCTTCGTAGAATATTGTGCCAAGTTGGTTTACAAGAAGGACCGGAAGGAGAAAATTCTTCCCTTGTTGATAAATTGATGCTTTCTGATTCTAAACTTTGGAAAGGTGAATTATTTGTTCTTTTTAATATATATATATATATATATATATATATATATATATATATATATATATGCAAAAAATGCATATATTTTGCATATGCACACCCGCGAAAACTTAAGAAGACATATATGTGTGTGTGTGTGTGTGTGTGTGTGTGTTTATTTTGTTCTTTTATTCATAGGATTATATGTGCAAGTCAGGGTTTTTCCTACGTAAATCAGGAGGCCTTATAAGGCCGAAATAGATCTATCCCAGTCTCCCTTAAGTCTCACAGCAGACAACACAAAATGTCTGATAAAGCCTGAAAGATGAGATGTCACCCAACTATGGCAATACAAACATCTTGATTTACGTAGGAAAAACCCTGACTAGAAAAGTATTGCGTATCAGGCTATTTTTAAGCATTTTCTTAACAAGATTTCTATTAACAGTTTCAATATCTGTTCCAAATAAACATGCATAGATTATACTGCAATCCTCTTATAATTAGTAGAACTAACTTTACAGGGTTGATTAGTTTCTGGTCAAGGTTTGGGAGCACAGTTTGAAGTTCATTCTGATAAAACAGTATCTTTTTCCTTAGAATTTGTAAATATTTATTATTTAAATATTTATTAATATTTATTAATTTATAAATATAGTAAATATTGAGACAGCCCCTCAAATATCAGAATTTGAGGGATGCCACAAAGAAGAGAGGGTCAATCTATTTTCCAAAGTACCAGAAGTTAAGACAAAAAACAATGGATAGAAATTTCTTAACAGTGAGAACAATTAACCAGTGGAATAGCTTCCCTTCAAAAGTTGTGGGTGCTCCATCACTGGAGGTTTTTAAGAAGAGACTGGATAGCTACTTGTCTGGAATGGTATGAGGTAGCAATAGCAATAGCACTTAGACTTATATACCACTTCACAGTGCTTTATAGCCCTTTCTAAGTGATTTACAGAGTCAGCATATTGCCCCCAACAATCATTTTACCGACCTTGGAAGGCTGGAAGGCTGAGTCAACCTTGAGCCAGTCAAGTCAGGATTGAACTTCTGGCAGTCAGCACAGTTAGCTTGCAATGCTGCATTCTAACACTGAGCTACCACAGCTCCTGCTTTTGCAGGGGGTGGATTAGAAGACTTCCATAGTGCCTTCCAATCTATTACTCTGTTAAATATATGCTCATCATCTGAGTAAGCAACATAAAGCACAGAAAAAAGTAAGAAGTAATTCAGTAAACAAAAATAAGGTGGGAGATAAAAGGAAACCTAAAACTTTATTATACCTACATTATATCTTTCTCCATATCTTTCTGTGCTTACCAAACATCCTTGCTTCCACCATGTTCTGAAATTAATTCATATATATACTTTACTTCTTGCTCTTTAAATCTCTTTCTGTGAAACCCTTTAACGTCATACAAGTACAACTCTTCCTTTCAACCCAGTCACTCTTCTTTCATATAACTCTTTAGATTTTCAATAATTATTTTTCTCATTATGACCAGACCACTTCAGTGAACTTTCTTCATAGTGATTGTACATTTAATATTAATTTATTCATTCATAACTCTTTTCTTGTTTTAGCTACACAAGGTTCTTAGGTAACTCATTCCCACTGCTTCTTTTATGCTTCTTCTGACACACAGAATTAATCATAGGATTAGAGGAACCTTTCAGGTTTTCTTATCTAACACCCTGCTGAGTGTAGAAATTCTGATACCTTCCTGTCAAATATTTGACTGCTGTTCCATTGCCAAGTAACATATTACAAAATGGGCAGAAATATTTTCATATATACAGCCATTTTCACTCATTTTGACAAATATTCATTTTCCACAATAATCCACATACTATCTACAACCTCTTGCCAACATTTCTTATTTTAAGATGTCTCCATTGTTTTCCATATTGCCAGGATGCATTAATGTGTTGTTTTAAAGCAGGGATCCCCAACCCCCATTCTGTGGACCAGCACTGGACCGTGGCATGTCAGAAACCGAGCTGCGCAAACAAGTGAAGCCCCATCTATGGGATGCAGCCAGTACACAACCCACCCCCTCCAGGCTGCGTAAAAACCTCTCCACAGAACTGGCCCCTGGTGCCCAAAAGATTGGGGGCCGTTATTTTAGAGGGTCATCTGTTACATAATAGTTCCATAGTGTAAAAATGTTTAGTGTTATTTAGGATTTACTATTATTTTTTAATAGACTGTTCTCATGCAAGTTCACATTTAATATGTATTTTTTCCTGACGGTTCCCTTCTTCACCCCCAGGAGCTAGAAGTGTGTATCATCAGTTATTCATGAGCAGCCTACTTATGGATTTGAAATACAAGAAACTGTTTGCTTTCCGGTTTGCCAGAGTGAGTAATTTTCAGTTACAAATTCTTTATAATAATATTGATTTGGCTTGGTTCCAGTTTCAACTCTGACTCTGGGTGAAGTTGCACTTCCCCTATAGAAAACCATCCATGGTTTGGGAGTCCCTTAAGACTTACAGCACCTGCAGGGAAAAGCCAGCTGTGGGCCTTTTAGAATCAGGAGACCCTTGCAACAATGACTTGTAAGCTTCCACAAGTTCCAAATGCAGCAACCAGTTCACTAACTAGAAGTAACAAATAAATTAGTGTTACATATCTGTTGTGATTACTGCAATGATTACAAATATGATTCTAGATCAGATTCAAAGTGCTCCGCATAATTTGACCCCCAAATGTGTATAGAATAGTTTTCTCATCTAGTTTGAGATCACCCTTGTGGTCTCTGAAGGATCACCATCCCAGATGAAGTAAATGGTGGTTCTTCTCAGTCGCTAACTCTCCTTTTAGAATAACTTGCCTCCTAAGATATAGAATGCCCCTAACTTAGTAGAATAAATAATGATTCAATTTTTATGAGGCATTTTTGATACACAATTAATTGGTTGAATTATTATGCAACTTTTCTTAATAAATACCATGTTATTTAAGTGGCCTTGAATTGAATTGAACTAATAATTTTCAATTTTCCATTAACTCGTAAGTATTCTAGTTATATATTGTAAAAAAGATTTCTATATATTGCACAACTCCATCAATTTACTTTAAATATTGATTGAATCCAGAAATGTTTCCTATAACAATGGATACATTTGGTATTTGTATTTAATTTCCTATTGTTGCTACAGGTATCCTCTTAGCCATAGTTTAGTAATTTGAGATATAAACAGTTGCCAGTTTTAGGACATAGTTTTCCATCACAAATATGAAACTTAGACAAAACATCCAATCAGTGCAGATTAGAGGTGAATTTCCCCTTGTTGTTTAGAATTATCGGCAGTTGCAGAGAGATTTTATGGAGGATGATCACGAGCGGCCAGTGTCGGTGACTGCTCTCTCTGTTCAGCTCTTCACTGTACCTACTCTGGTGAGTAGTGCTATCTTTTTTTAAAACTGATAGTTGGCACTTTTTGCCTTTTTGCCTTCTTCTTAATAGAATTATGAGCGATTGCAGAATGATTATGTGAAAGATGACCACGACAGAGAGTATTCAATTGCTGACCTCTCGGTGCAGATATTCACAGTACCTTCTCTTGTAAGTATTTAAATGTTGAATGAATGAAACCTTCTGTTTGCTCTGAAGGCCGCTTAAATCTAATACAGGTGTAATGAATTATTATGTTTGGAATCCTAAATAGTGATTGTTATATCTTATATCATTGTATGATTAAAGAAGACAAAATCGGTAACAAAATCATAATCTGTGGAATGGAAAAAGAAAAAGAGCCAGTATGTGGTGGTAGTGGTTAAGGCACTAAACTAGAAACTAAGAGGCTATGAGTTCTGGTCCTGTATTAGGCACAAAGCCAGATGCACAGAAGAAGATATCATCTTTAACTCCAAAATATGAGTCCAATAAATGGGTCATCTGGGTACATACAGCATACTAAAACTTCTGAATCTTTTCTCCCCTTCCCCAGCTCACATCCTGTTACGTTTTTCTGATTGTTCACCATGTTTTATCTTTACTTTTATCTTTCTCTCTATATTTTGTGCCCAACTTCATTACCCAACTTTGTCCAATCCAACTTCCTCACTGCGTTTCCTTCATATTTTTATAGATACGATCCTTTCATTTCTTAAATTCTAGTGAGCTTTAACCATTTCCATTTGTTCCTTAATACGCTCTCATATTCTGAATATTGCCGGATAATCACTGGTCCCCCTAATTTTATTTATTATTGAAACATCAAATTTAGTGTGTTTCATTTCCAATTTGATCATTTTGAATTTTATTTAGTATGTGCTTCTCACATCTGTGGTATAAATAAATTTGTATTTGTAATATGAGGAATTCCTTTCTTTAAATAAAACCTTCTGAATTTGATTTTCGAATTCCATCTCCTAAATTTCTCAGCTTCACTCATATCTTCAGAGCCCATGTGTCCACCTTAATAGTGGACTTAATCTAAGAATTGTCCTTCTCCCTTTGACCTTACCAATCAAATCACTTTCTCTACTGGCATAACTAATCCATTGAAGCTATAAATACTTTCCACTATGACTTGTAGGGGTTTCCCATCCTCCCTTCCCCCCTTCAATTTTTCCAATCTGTTATCCCCCCCATTTTTCTCTATTGCTTCTCTTTATCTTCCATTAAAAAAAAAATCAATACTATGACTGGAGAAAGGGAAATTGTTTTTTATTACAATATTAGTAATGTAATAATATATTTTTAAAAATTAACAAAATGAAATAAATAAAACTTGCAGTTGGAGCCTACAGCCATACCACGTTTAGAGTGTGATCTTTGATTTGCTATACCATTGAGTCTCAAAGTGTGATTTATGGACCTCTTGGGAGGTCTCAGGTCAGGGGGTCTGTGAAGTCAAATAAAAATATTTTTAATTTCTAATATGGTAAATATTGATAGATATAGTCCATATAAACAAAAGCCATTTGGGGTCCTCAATCGTTAAGAAAGGGGAACATTTGGGAACTATTGTACTATACAAAACGAAGAACAGCCTTTGAGTGAAGGAAGTGCATACCCTGTCTTAGTCTATAGAACACAAATAGTCATTTGAAGTTACATAGAAGTAAATTCTGCTTGACTGATCTACTGTTTACTCCACTAATATAAAAGCTGTTCAGTAGTGAAACCATTTATCTAAGGAGATGGATGTGTCAGACTGATCACATCTGCCTGAGACACTTTGATTTTTGTACCTGCATTGGCTAGGGATGGAATTCAATAGTAGAAAGCTGCTTTGCAACTTGATTCTATTCATATTTTGGAGAAATAAGGGTGGATATTTTGGAGAAATAAGGGTGGATCCTCTGAAATTATCTCAGCAGCACACTTTGTAAAAATGTGCACTGTTGAGATAATTTCAATGCCACATAGCTTCAGCAAATTTGTATGTTGTTCATGTTATAAGCAATTCTAAAAAATGAATGTGATCACTATTCATGAGATTAGAGTACTTAGCCCACAGATGTTCGTTCTTAATGGATGATTTTAACTATGATGCAAAGTTTCAGAATAATGGTATCTTTATTTAAAAGTAAAATTTTTATAAGCATGGTCTCTAACAATTTATCCAATCCTTCCTTTAATATCTTGGAACATGATGATTCCGCTGGTTTCCCATTCAGGAACTATTTGCCGTTTAGTGCTGAAAAGAACTGCATTTGACGTACAAATAATTGTTTCCGCAGCTTCTGATTAAAACACACTTTCAAATGTTTTGCTTTTGCTATAGGCAAGAATGTTAATTGTAGAAGAGAATCTCCTGACTACTATAATCTCAACATTTATGGATCATTTACGACATAGAGATATACAGGGGAGATTTCAGTTTGAACGGTATACTGCACTACAGGCATTCAAATTCCGACGAGTCCAAAGCCTGATTCTGGATTTAAAGTAAGTAAGTTTTTTTTAAATCACACAAATATATTTTTATGTAAATACAAAAATCAGCCTGCAAATTTATTTCTGCTGTACGTAGGTATGTGTTGATAAGCAAGCCAACTGAGTGGTCAGATCAACTGAGACAAAAATTTCTAGATGGCTTTGATGTCTTCTTGGAATTGTTGAGGTGTATGCAAGTAAGTAATTTACAAAAATTGTATCATATTAATTGCATGATTACAAACGAGATAGTGAAAGTTGTTTTTCATATAATTGTTACATTTCCAGTGCCTTTTACATTAGGTTTCTTTGTTCTTGGGGATAGAGTAGTTTCAGTAAAGCTAATTTTTCTACAATCCTCTTTATTAATCAAGATTTTCTTGTGAAGAATTGTTGAACCTTATGAAGTCAGATGCTAGTAGCTATGAGGTGGTGAACCAGAATTGCAATGGATATAATTTTTCAGCATTGCAGGTTTGCCTAGTTCTTCCATCACAAATGAAATTAGAATGAGCAAACTACAGGCAGTCATTTTTCTATCTTGGCTATAGACAGTCACTAGGCAAAGACTTGCTGGGTTTTAGCATTAATACTTCTTTGTTGTTTTCATCTGTATCTGAAGGGTATGGATCCAATAACTCGCCAAGTAGGACAGCATATTGAAATGGAACCAGAGTGGGAAGCTGCATTCACACTGCAGATGAAATTAACACATGTTATCTCAATGATGCAAGATTGGTGTGCTTTAGATGTAAGTTGTTAAAATGTTTCAAATATATTTGAATGAGGGCAATAAAGAACCCTCAAGATTTCTTTATATGACTTGTATCAGTAAGATTGGGTTGTTTAAAATGGAAACTCAAATGCCCATGATTTTTAAGCAGGAAACATTGGAGTAAAATACGGTAAATTAACACACAATCTTCAGATCTGGGCTATGCTGTATTTCAGAAGGAATAAAAAGAAAAGGGGGTGCTCATTAGCATGAGATTAATTATTTGATGCAAAAATTACTGTGAGTTATACCTATTTGTAGCTGCAGTTTTGTGCTCCCTCTCTAATTTTCTTTGGATAATTTAGAGGTTCTTCAGAACAGGGAATAAATTAAAGGGGAAATTCCCCCTATTGTACTAATTGAAAACTTAGGCAGTAAAAAAAAATCTGTCATTAGCACAGAAGCACAAATGTATCCATTGAATCAGAGATGGACAGAATGGATTGGATGAAATTCATACTATTGTACATGATTCTGTGGATAACAAATGATCAATTATTTAGAAATATATATGTGGGTAAGGTAAATCTTAGTATTTGAGCAAATTGATACAATGAAAGGTAGTTTGAAAAGGTAGTTTCACTTTTTTTGTCTACCTCTTAAAATGGTAGTCTGTGAATATGCTGGATGCATTTTTTTAAAGAAACAAGAATAGTTTTGATAGCTTCAGACATGGCAGGAAATCACTGTATGTGAGGAAAAGATCTAAAATTCATAATCACTAGATTTTTTTTTAGAAAAATCCATATACTTCAATCTTATACTTCAGTCTTCTTGCAGGTACCATTGTTTATATAGCCATATATGGAATGGTGATAGCACATATGAAGAACCACAAGATTTACGGGTATAATGTATAAGGAAAGGTAGAGTGCAATTCAGAAAATTAATTGTACTAATGAGGACTCACTTAATTGGGATGTAGACGAAGTCTAATGAGCTCTATGTCAAGGCCATCTTCTCTACTCTCTAGAAGTCTGCTCTAGAGTGAAATGATAAAAAATATCCTAGAAGAAAGTACTATAAATACCACAGCTGGCATTGCAAAGCAGACCCTGGAGGCTAGAATAGAAAACTTTCCCTCACCAGTACTTTTTTCTCTTATTTGGAGATAAATAAAATCAGAATTTAAAGTGTCTTATATGCGCTTCCTATGTTCTTGTTTCTGCCACTAAAGTTTTCTTCATAAAATGGAATTGTATACCTCCTGCTACCTACTGTGATACAGTTCCAACAGTTATTGAAACAGCATTGGCAAATACGCTTTAAATAGGTTAGATAAATTTTACCTTGATGCAATTTTTCACTTATTTATTTTGATTACAAATGCATGATAATTTTGTTACAATTTTAAGAGCTGTGTTTTCTGTAAATATAATTACCTTTAATCTTTATAGGAAAAAGTGCTTATTGAAGCATATAAGAAATCTTTGACTGCTTTGATGCAATGCCACTGTGGTTTTACTGATGGAGAACAGCCTATTGAACTCAGCATGTGTGGACATTCAGTTGAAACTATTAGATACTGTGTTTCTCAGGAAAAAGTTAGCATTCATCTTCCTGTTTCCCGTTTACTTGCAGGTAAGACCTAAATTGTTTAGTTGATTTGGTGGTTAATTTTTAATATCGTTTGTTTTCATAACTATAACACAAATGTTGTCTTTTGCTTGCTATCTTTGTGGGCGAGAAATGAAGTGAATTCACTTTACAACAAAAACAAGAGCTAGTAAGCTGTATGAACCTGTGTTTCTTTGATATTATCAGGTTCAAACTCAACTATTAACATTATAGCAACTTATCACTGTTGTGTAAACATATATACACACATATGCATACAGATATATTTGCATATACATATATATATATATATACATATTTGCATATACATATATACACATACACATAATAGATAGCTCTATATTTTAGATGTAATTAAATCCTATGTACTATAAGGAGTGCTATCCACTTCTATTGGTTCAAGGGCCACAAAAAGTTTTGGGTAGCAGTTCAAATCCATACTTTAAAAATAGACATCTATTCTTTGTGAGATAAATTGGATTGGTTAAGCAATTATAGTTTCCCCCTAAAATGCAAAAACTTTTCCCAAAATTTTTATTCCATCCACTTTGTGGATGTGGGAAATATTGAAGCCACAAAAGTGTTTGCATGGTTCCCAGGCTATATTTTTTGTAATCTTGGTATGAGGCTTGCCCAGAAATTATGTTGCTTATCATGCCCTAGCAAGACCAAGATTCAGTCTGTAGTATGTCAGTAGTATGTCAGTCGATTAGTTTTGTATTCATAGGCAAGCCATAAACTGGTTGCTTCTCAAGCACACCATGCACTATAAATGCATACTGTAATTGTCTTTGATTGTAAAGGTTGAAGTTCTCACAAGCTGAGTCTAAAAGCAATGTTGTAACATTCCAATAATGGGGTGTAAGTTTTCATCCTCATAAAAGTAATTTAAGTTCATATAATACTTGGCTAGTGTTCTGCCCAGTCTGGTTGTAATATCTGGAGTAAGAATGTAGCACCTATCTGCCACTCCTTAAACAGATATGACTTTTCCTAGGACCCACACCTGTGCCAGTTTTGAAAATAACTTATTCTGGTAATGTAATTGCTCTTCCTGATTACTTTTTTGGACCTGAATTGGGGGAATGCTCCTTTTTTGGTTGTTTTAAATTTGTCATCAGCCTTATTTACCATTTATTATAGCCTTCTGGATATCTTAAGAATATTGATAATTGTATCACTATATTACAATGTTTCAGCATTTCACTAAGAAGGCAATTTTAATTTGTGATTGTGGGAGAGGAGAAGTTGATCTGGCATTTGCTTACATGCGTGGTGCTGAAAGATTCATCCCTCTTTCCCGTGCTCTTCAACAGCTATATGAAAACTGAAAGAGGTCATCTGCTCATCACCACTCCGGTGATGCTGTAGAAGCCTTGATCCAGTGTCTGGAGACTATGAGAAACTGGATGGCAAAGAACAAACTGAAATTGAATCTCTCCAAGTCAATGTTGATGAATGTCCAGAAATGAACTGGCTTTCTGTCATTTGTGGCTGTGACTCTGGACAGAGTCACACTCCTTTGAAGAAGCAAGTCTGCAATTTGGTGAAAGTCCTAGTCTCATGGTTACTCACTCATGGTTAAGTGATGTCCCGGTGCCTGGAGGCTGTGCGGATCTGGATGGGGAGAAACAGGCTCAGGCTCAACCCATCCAAGACCGAGTGGCTGTGGTTTCTGGCGTCCCGATATAGTCAGTTGGCGCCATCACTGACTATTGGCGAGTCGTTGGCCCCCATGGAGAGGGCTCGCAACTTGAGTGTCCTCCTGGACTCATGGCTGTCTTTAGAAGAGCACCTGACGGCTGTGGCCGGGAGGACTTTTCGTCAGGTCCGCCTGATTCGCCAGTTGCATCCCTTTCTGGATCGGGACCCCTTACACACGGTCACTCATGCCCTCATCACTTCCCGCCTGGACTACTACAATGCTCTCTACAGGGGGCTCCCCTTGAGGAGCACCCGGAGGCTCCAACTGGTGCAGAGTGCAGCCGCACAGGTGGTTATGGAAGCGACGTGGCGCTCCCATGTAACACCTCTCCTGCGCAAGCTGCACTGGCTTCCAGTGGTCTTCTGGGTGCACTTCAAGGTTTTGGTTACCACCTTTAGAGCACTCCATGGCTTAGGACCTGGATACTTACAGGACCGCCTGCTGCCACCAATAGCCTCTCACCGGCCAGTACGCTCTCATAGAGAGGGGCTCCTCAGGGTGCCGTCAGCCAAACAGTGTCGGCTGGAGGCCCCCAGGGGAAGAGCCTTCTCTGTGGGGGCACCTGTTATTTGGAATGAGCTCCCCCCGGAGATACGGAGGATCCTGGATTTACGCACCTTTGGCCACGCCCTCAAGACCTTTTTATTCCAACAGGCTGGCGTGGCCTAACTTTTCCTTTTAATGAGTTTTAATTCCCATTTAATATGAGAAATTTTAAATTTGTTTTAAATATGGGGATGTTTTTTAATTCATCTTGGGCCAAATTGTTTAATACGTTTTTATACTGTTTTAAATTTTATAATCTGTGTTTTTTATCTTTTTGGCTGTTCACTGCCCTGAGTCCTTCGGGAGTAGGGCGGTATATAAATCTAATAAAATATAAAATATAATATAAATATTACTTAATCAGCAGGTGGAGGCTGCAACTAGTGCACCAGTTGCAACCTTTTTTGAAATTGGAAACCACCTTATGGCACTAGCTCACATTGTAATAATCTCTGTGCCCTTTAAAAGTGGCTGCTATTGAAAACCACCTTTGAAACTACGTTTGCTATAAAATATAGCAGCTTCCTTACCGATAAGTGAGCAGCTTCTTTACTGATAATTACAGTTATGTGACATTGATTCTTTGGATGCCACACTGCCCACCAACAGACTTACAAAAACTGTCCAAAATGATGGCTTTTAATTTATAAAGCTTTCATGACTCAGTACTAGATATTTCCAGGACAGTCTTCTTTTGTCCCAAGCAGAGTTGTTGTAGATCCCATTTTATGTTAAATGCATATGGAAGAATATAATGTTTTTCCATTATGGTTTCAGTCTTGTGGAATAGTCTACACAAGAAGATCCAGTTGGCACCTTCTCTCATAGTATTTAGAAAGATAGTGAAGACCAGCGTTTCATAGATATTTAACCCATAATCTGTAATTTAAACATAACATTGTTTTTAATTAATTAAAGTGGCAGATATTTTGTGGTTTTTACATTTCATACTACATTACATTATTTTATTGATCAAATTTCAAAACATCAGAAGTGTTTTGGGGATTCTGGTACTATCTAGATATAATAAATAAATACTGTAATATAATCAATAGAATGCATTTTTGTATTAAATATAGGTCTGCATGGACTTTTGAGCAAAACAGAAGTAGCATACAAGTTTCCAGAACAACTACCAATGGTGAGTAATATTATATTAATAAACCTCTATGACTAGGGTATTTTAGTTTAAAACAAAACAAAACTGAACAGTTAATTGGGGAGATCCAGAGGTGACAGTGCCTAGAATCCAGTGAACCATTAGGGGTAATAGCTATAACTTCCTATATTTTAAGTCATGGAAATGAATTTTTGGATGCTCTTTAAAAACATAAAACAAATACATTGAGTTTTGTGTTTATCTTCAACCAATACAGAGTGAACTTAGTCCTCCTATGTTAATAGAACATCCCCTGCGATGTCTAGTTCTATGCGCCCAAGTTCATGCTGGAATGTGGCGGAGAAATGGATTTTCACTTGTTAATCAGGTAAGTCCTGAATGGGAAAAATTTATTTAATCTTTTTCTTTCACCTGAGAACCATAGAACAGTTTGATTTCCTTATTGCTAAAGATTAAAGTGCTCTGCATAAATGATTAATTTTAAATCTGTGATTTGATTATTTTATATGTTTTCCTAAATGTGTTTATCAAGGGTAGTTTTCTTGAACTCAAAAAGCTTGTTTATTTATTTGTATGTATGTCGCATTCAATATGTGTGACACTGAATTTTGATAATAAATATATGAAGTTTTAATCACCTCTGGAAGCTGTGGTACATTTTTTTTATCTCAACTTTATTATTTTTTATAAATAACTCAAGATGACAAACATCCCTAATACTCCTTTCCCCTCCTATTTTCCCCACAACAACAACAATTCTGTGTGGTGAGGTGAGAAAGCATGACTGACCCAAAGCCACCCAGCTGGCTTTCATGCCCAAGGCAGAGCTGAAGCTCACAAATTCCTGGTTTCTAGCCTATGGCCTTTACCATGGACCAAAGGGATTTAATCTATAAGGTCACCATGAGGAATATGCTGTGTACTTTGCAGAAGTCTCTTGCATTTGTTCTACATTGGACTCTAGTTTTAGGCCAGTGCCAGTGGAGGTTACAGGGCTAAATCTTGCAAGGTTATCTGAGGGAAGTTTGATCCCATTGCACCTGAGGATGTGAACAGGGCTTTTGCAGCTGCTAATTTGACCATCTCAGTGTTCCATGTGTCTCCTGGCTGGCTAAGGTTGCTCGGAGGAGAATAATTGGGTTTGGAAGGTGGTTACTAATTCCTTAAGTAAGGGGTGATCCCATTGGTTTTCAAGGAGGTAGTGGTGCACCCTCTCCTGAAGGGGCCATTGCTCGACCCAACCAGTCTGGACAGCTTTTGAGTCTGTCAGTCTTTAACCTCTCATTTTTGGGTATGGTTATGTAAAAGGTGGTTGCATGGCAGCTGCAGAGGACCGCGGATGAAGTGGATTACCGTATTTTTCGGACTATAAAACGCACTGGATTATAAAACGCACCTAAATTTACAGGTTGTCGCCCTCCCGGGTCCCCAGAAGCACTGTGCATTTTTCTGCATGGCCCGTTTTCGCCAAAAATGGGCCTGTTTTTGGGCTCCCAAGCCCTTTGTGCATCACGTTTTTGCCCTCCCCGGCCCCCAGAAACACTCTGCAGGCCAAAATGGGCGTGTTTTTGGCAAAAACAGGCATTACAACTGTTTTCTGCAAGAGAAAACCGTAACTTCAGGCCTCAGTTCCTCTCATTTCATGAAAGGGAGGCTATAATTAAGAGCTTTTCCAAAGATAAATGTATTGGATCTAAAGATAAATGTACTTATTCTACGGGAAGAGGTGACACTGTAGATACATACGAGGCATTATAGGTAAAAACCAGATCGCATCTGGAAATTTATTGGAATGATGGACCTAAAACTCAGGTGTAAGCTGTGCATTCTTTATCAATTTCTAAATGATCTTCAATTTAGAGTGCATTATAACATATGATGACAGCATGAGTTTTACTGTGAAAATATTAAGTCCTTATAGGACTCCAAATGGCACAATGTCCAAGGCTTGGAGGTAGCACTCCAGGCCATGGCTTCCGTCTTCCAATCCAGTAGCCATGAGTCCAAGAGACTTCCAACTGGTAGACCTTCTCCTTTAGATATTTTGAGAGAGAGTACTGGAGTTGACCAATGTTGTCAATGAACAAACAATAACTTTCTCTTGCATGGATGCATTTTCAATCTGTTTCCTTGTGTCCTCAGCCTCTAGACACAGGTTCAAGACTTTCACAACTTCATTAGTACGGCCTGGAGTGGCAGTGTACAATTTTGAGCATCATGAGCATATTGATGGTACTACAAGCCAATGGACTACCTCTCCAATGGTATTATGTAGATTGAGGTAATGGGGCAAAGGACCAAGCTGTGAGGCACCCCACAAAAATGAAGCCACCAAGTCAATCTCACCTACCACTACTCAATCACCACTGAGCAGAACAGCTCACAAGAAGAAACAGAATTACCGTAGAACAGTTGTTACTTCCAATCTTCAAGAGTGGTCCATCAAAATTTCATGATTGATGGTACTGAATGTTGCTGACAGATCTAAGAGGATCGGGGGGTTGGGGAGTCTAGGTCCTGATAAAAATCATCCACTAGTACCATTTCTGTTGCATGCCAATCCTTGAATTATGACTGAAAGAGAGGTAATAGTAACAGATTATAAATACATTAAGTAGATAATCCATTTCCTCCACTGCATTCTGTAGCTGAACTCCCATGATTCTCTTAGTAACTGTAGTGAAGGTTGGAGACAGAAAAATAGTTGTAAAAAATGGCTGAATTCTTCAGGACTATGGGCATCATCTTCTCACACAGAGAGACATTGACAATCTCCTAAGGTTGCCTCCACTTGCCTCCAAAAGTGCAGAATGCAGCTGGTGAGAATCATGTGAGAAAACCCCCTTTTTACTTTATCAGTGTCTGCAAGTCAAGAAGATTCCCAGGTTATATGGTAAATCACTTTAACTGTTCTTGTTTTTGTGAAGTCAAGATTTTGATGAATCTGAGAAATTTTGTCAGCAAAATGGAATGTAAAGTAGTTTTAGATCAGAATCCAAATTGAAACATATATCAAACTCTGAAAACTTTCTCTTTCAGATATACTACTATCATAATGTAAAGTGCAGAAGAGAAATGTTTGATAAAGACATTGTAATGCTCCAGGTAATATATATATTTTTAATAATCCTTATATGTACCTTGAGATGTCACTAAGACACCTGCATTCTTTAAAAGTTTTAAAAAAATATTATGTAGTCAAGTTTTTTTCAATGTACCTTCCCTTTTGAGACCATGGAAAAGTTATATGTTAATATATTCCGATAAAACCAATATTTTTTAAAAGTACAAAACTTTGGAAAACAAATATTCAATATGCTGTTTGTGCTTGAAAGGGATATTATAGTTAAAAGGTTTAGAAAGGGCTATAATATGAAGACTCATGCTGCTTCATATGCAACTATTGTATGACGTATTTATATTTATAAAAGAAGACAAATTTTATATGTGAGTATGGCCAATAGTGCAATGTTTCCAAATAAATTTATATCATTCTGCTCTCTTTATCTAAACTTCCTTTTTTTTATAGACAGGTGTGTCTATGATGGATCCAAACCACTTTTTGATGATGATGCTGTGTCGCTTTGAACTTTATCAGATATTTAGTACTCCGGATTATGGCAAAAGGTTCAGTTCCGAAAATACCAATAAGGTACAACATGAGCATTTGAAGATACAGTTTCAAAGCTTTAAGAAATGCATTACAAATAAATTACAAACTCCTATATCTTAATGTGAAAATATCTGTAAGTGCTTTCTAACACATTTTAGTCCTTGTTTCTTTCAGGATATGGTTCAGCAAAATAATACTCTCATTGAAGAAATGTTACACCTAATTATAATTATTGTTGGTGAGTTTATGCTTTTTCAGTTAATACCTACTGATTTTATGGATTAATTCTAATTATAGTTAGAAGTCCTATTTATAGATGTTGTTTAGATTAGTTCATTAATATACTGTATGTACAACTTTAAATATTAAAGAGTACAGTTATTTCCACTTATGCTGCTTGATAAAATAAAATTATTTTGGGGATGTTTATGATCATGACATTATCCTTACATCTTGTCATATGACAATATGAATATCTCTTCAGATGTTGTACTGGAAAAAATAGTCACTTCTCTCGCTTCGTTCAGCATATGCATAAAATGAAATTGATCAGTGCTTACTGAAATTATTGATTTGTTTCTTAGGAGAGAGATTTACTCCAGGAATTGGGCAGATTAATGCTACAGATGAAATAAAACGAGAGATTATTCACCAGTTGAGCATCAGACCCATGGCTCATAGTGAATTAGTAAAAGCATTGCCAGAAGATGTGAGTTTTATTAAAAATATTTTCACTTGTACTTTTTAAATTGGTGGATGATCATTGGGGGATTTCTAATATGTTGGAATTGATGATGGAGATTCCTTCAGATAGCAGGGAATTAAAAGTTTTTTTTATAGAAGATGATTTCCCAGCAGGCTTTAATGGATTATATTAAATATTTTCCCCACAATTTTATACACCCTAGAAATTAGTAGATATGTTGAATTTTTCAACTCATCCAGAGTACTTTATTTTGTTGCAATTTAATCATAGTGACTGTTATTAATACAGTTATAAACAGGAAGGTGACGTATGGGAAATATTTCAAAAACGTAAAAAGAAATCATTATTTCAAATTATTTTGCATTAAAGATTGTAGAACTGTGTATAAAAAATGTAATGACTCAGTCATAATAACTAATGTTAAGATAGCACAGTCCTAAAGACCCTTAAATTTTTAATACTTCCAGATTGCCAATAAAGAATATTTGTAGCTCAGGGTTGAAATGAACTCGGTTGTTTTCTTGAAGATGTTTCATTACCCAAACTAGGTAACATCATCAGTGCTAGTAAGGAGTGGGGTTCACTCTCAATTTATATTCTACTGGTTTGCCTTAATAGTGTTGGTGGGAGTGGTTCTTGGAGGTTCTTCTCCAAGTGGACTTGGAGAATAGATTAACTCCAAGATTAACATCAAATCAACAATCAAGAAGTAAACAATAATCCAATCGAGGAACTGTCAAACAAGCTAACAATAAACAGCCCAAACAAAGAACTTCCAAGACTACTCCCACCAATATTGGCGAGCCATTGGAATATAAACTGAAGGAAACCCCACTCCTCACTAGCACTGATAATATTAGCTAGCTTGGATAATGAAACATCTGCAAGAAAACAGCCAAGCTCAGAGAGCACAAAGAACCCCCTATTTCCAGATTTATCTAGCTGATTATTACCTTAGGGAATATACTTGTAAAGTATGTACACATATAATAACATATTTTTCCTTTGATTTTATAGGAAAACAAAGAGACCGGAATGGAAACTGTCATTGAAGCAGTTGCCTGTTTCAAGTAATGGCTTCCCTGCAACAAACCTCTTTAAATGTGTAAAATAGTATATATTGTGACCCAGAAAATAATGTTTAGGACTGATTTATACTTCAGTCTTAAATCCTACTTTATGATTATTTTAATTGAAAGTAGTCTAGACATTTTACAAATTTAAGAATTGACAGCTGTTAGAGATAATGTAAGAAGTAAGATTCTGAATGTTTTGAGGAAATTTTTTTTGTTAAAAGTACTAACAAAGCAAACTTTATTTTTTATTGTGATGAAAAATACTACATGGAAAAAAACTTTTATATTAGCAGGAAAAATATCTGTTGTTACTCATCCTCCCAAATAAATCAAACATGTATATGAAGAACAATTTAAAAATATCGATTTAGCCATTTCCTTGTTTTCAAAGGATGGTCTTGCCCCAACAGGAATGAAGAAGTTGCTATTGCCCAAAAGCAAAATGCTTAGTGGAGAAGCAAGGCAGAAGCCTACAACCTTGATGGTTATTCTCAGGGGAGTGCAGCTCAGGAGAAAGTGGGGTTTGCTTTCCCATCTTATTCTGTAGGTTTAGGTAGCAACAAGAACACGTTTCTTTACAATTAATACCTTGACTATAAGTATGGTATCAATTGCTTGTGTACCATATCTCATATTCACACATCTGTCATTTAAGAAGCTACACATTTATCTTAGGTGATGGTAAATTGAAGGGCTGTCAGTGGACCCCATTGATAACCTATATGAAGGGAAGTCTTGTTTACCTGGTGTCATTCAGCCAACCTTCCAGTCAGTCAGAGGCGCTGAGTCTCATTTTTGCCAAAGTAGAGTCTGTGCTTGTAGGCAAACAAGCTTTGTGCGGTCATTAATAGTGATATACAGTTAAAAGTATAAGATGTCATTCATATTGAGGTGTTAGTGTTCTTATTGTTTCATGGATTATGGTATTTTTTGCACTATAAAACGCTCCAGATCATAAGACGCACCTAGCTTTTGGGGAGGAAAACAAGAAAACAAAAAAATGTTTTCTTTCGGCCACGAAAATCTTGCATGGCTTTGTCTAAACCTTTTAAGACTTATCTTCGGTTGCCTCTTGTAACATTCTGTTATACAGAATAACAGCTGGAAGGGATCTTGAAGATCTTCTAGTCTAACCCCCTGCTCAGGCAGGAAACCCTTTATCGTTTCAGCCAAAAGCTCTTGAACCTAGGGAAGAAATTTGCTGTAGGTGAGGCTGTCCCTACAATGGATTTTTTCTCCTGGGACCTGGGTCTATTGTGTTGCTGCTGCCACCTGTTGCCTCCGCCTTTCATTGCCCTTCACCACCGCTCACTGCCACCTATCAGCGGTTGGATTGGCTGCCCAGAATACCACCGATCAGCAGTTCCAGGCGGCAGGGATCACCACCACCTGTTGCCACCGCTGATCGCAGCAGGTGGCAGTGATAGGTGGTGGCAATCCCTGCCGCCTGGCACAGCTGATTGGCGGTATTCCGGGAGGCTAATCCAACTGCTGATAGGTGGCGGTGATTGGCAGTGGCAACAGGCCATTTGCCACCGCTGCCCCCGCACCAAGCCCTCCCCGCTGCCGCGGCCCAGTTTGTGACGCAATATTCGCTCCATAAGACGCACAGACATTTCCGCACTTTTGGGTGGGAAAAGTGCGTCCTATAGTGCAAAAAATATGGTAGTTTAGAATGTTGTTCAATTATTACAATGCTGATTAATTATTACAATACTGATTATATGTTTCCAATTATCTTTTAGGAAACCAGGATTAACAGGAAGAGGCTTATATGAGTTAAAGCCAGAATGTGCTAAAGATTTCAATTTATATTTTTACCATTTTTCAAGGGCAGAACAGTCTAAGGTAATTATGCAATATTAAAACTTTTATATAATTATATAATTATAGATAATTATGAAGCTTTGTATTTACAGATAACAGTTAAAATAATGACCTATATTTGGATTCTCTTTAGTCAATACATTGCAATGTAATAATGAAATAAATGCATTATAGATTCAGATTGAATTTATAACAGTACAGTATATCTTAGAAAGAAATAAAGTAGATTGGTTGTTTTGGTAGTTTAATTTTGAGTAAAGAGAAATAAAAAAAAATGTTGCATGGATAGTTTCATGAAGGAATTAGAAGTAGAAATTCTTTGCATGAAGACAATAGCAGATTCAGTTACAGTAGGAGAAAACAGTTCATTGAGAAACATAAAGAGAGTTTACAAATCTCTGAAGGAAGTAATATGGGCAAGAAATTCAAGGGAATTGGTGAGGTATTTATACAGGATACAGGTAATAATATATTACTAATAAGGAGGAAACAAATAAGCAATTTTTTTTTTAATTTGATTTATATGCCGCCCTTCTCCGGAGACTCAGGGCGGCTTACAATGCGCTAAGCAATAGCCTTCATCCTTTTGTATATTTATACAAAGTCAGCTTATTGCCCCCACAACTGGGTCCTCAATTTACCTACCTTAGAAAGGATGGAAGGCTGAGTCAACCTTGAGCCTGGCGAGATTCGAACCTGCAGTAATTGCAGGCAGCTGGTCTTAATAACAGGGTGCTTTAGATCACTGTACTACCAAGGCTCTTATCAAAATTATTGATGTTATAGTAGAGGAAATATATGTCTCTTTTTCCCCCCATAAATTTTATTAATTTTCTATTAATTACATTTCTTAGTGCTTAATAAACATTGCGTTGTCTGGGTATTTAATTTGCTTAGCAATACAAATTCCGTTCTTAATCTCACAGTTTGATAACTCTCGAAGGTGTCTAGGGGCTGCCTTTGGCGATCGCATTTTGGGCCTTCAGGTTTGTTTATGGTATAACATCTAACTTATGCTGATAACAAATACAAACAATAGAGATAAATGTTTTTGAGCTTAGGTAATATAAGAAATTGGAGCATGAAATAAATGTCAAGAAATAAATTAGTTATCCAGAAGTGATGCTGTTGTCTTTAATGTTTGAATTGCTTTTCATTTTTTTTTAAGGCAGAGGAAGCCCAAAGAAAACTAAGACGACAAAACCGGGAAGACACAGGTACCTATGTTTCTAGTTTGTATTGGTCTCTCCATGTCTGTTGCTCTTATTTTTTTAATATACTGGGGGTCTTCGAAAACCATATTGACTTTAAACTAGATGAACAGATATTATGAATTAAAACAGCTATTTTTCTTTTTTTTCCAATAAAAAAATAATGCTGCCATTAAAGCATTTCCCCTTTTCTTTTAAATTTTAAATTTTAAATCTGTTTTTAAATTATTGGGATGTTTTAAATTTGTCTCGGGCTAAATTGTTTAATCTGGTTTTATTTCAGCTTTAAATTTTGTATTTATGTATTTTATTTTGTGCCTGTTCACTGCCCTGAGTCCTTCGGGAGTAGGGCGGTATATAAATCTAATAAAACAAACAAACTAACAAAGCAAAAATCTTGAGTATGCCATAAATGACTACATTATTTACCTCACTGCATTTGTATATGTGACATATTAGGCTGCTTCAAAATTTAGTATCAGCTATGAATTGTACCTCAAACTATACACATTGTTCTTCAGATTATTCTTGCCCAATTTGGGATTCATGAAATGAATGTAGTCACTCTCTACATAATGCATCTAGTGTAGTGTATTCTAGTTGTTTTACTAACCACTTGTGTTTTTTCAAGTAACTCAAGAAATGTCTGTTAAGTGTCATACATTGTAATTAGTGTTTATGTTGATTTGCAATTTATGCTTACATTAAATATTTTTTTTAAAAAATCATATTACCTGTGGGTTTTTTTTAAACATATCATGCTTGAGTTCCTTAAGCAAATATAGTTTGAATTTGCATACATCATTAATGAAGTGTTACAACATAATCTATAGAAGACTTTATAGAACAAAATATTATCAGTCAGAATGGTGTGGCAATTAATTTTTCATCTATGGATCATTGATTATGATGTTACTTCATAACATGTTAACACTGGATGTCACCCAGTGTTACTTCATTCATCAAAAGTTATTAAATTGCATAGGATGCAACCTTTAATATTAATACTCTGCAAATATGACTTAATTGAAAGTAAGCATTCCCAAACTCAGTGCATTTTGAGTAGGAATAAATAGTTCTGAGGAATTGAGAAAGGAACAGAATTCATACCTACTAATTTCAGTTAACATGCATAGGTTCTGATGCTGTCTCAATTTTGCTGTTTATTTAATATCTTACAAAATATCAACAGTTCTTACTGAACACCACAAAATTATATTTTTTAGCCAAGAAATATTTTCTTGCAGTTCCACATTAACTACATGTGCCAGTTTGAAAAGCAACCAAATCTGTTTTGGGATATTTTATTTGAAAAGAAATTTATTACTGAGCTCTTTACATCTCTCTAGGCATATATACAGAGGGTACGGGTAGGATTGTATTAAAAGTAAAGTAAACTAATGTATTTTGTTAATTTGAAAAATTCCACAGCTGTTCTTAAATGTTCCTAACATATTGAATTACCTAACTCTACAACTTTCCCAATGTATCAACAGCAATGTATTAATATCTGTTTCAGCACTGCCACCTCCTGTATTACCGCCATTTTGCCCTCTGTTTGAAAGCCTGATTAATATTCTACAGTGTGATGTCATGTTATGCCTTATGAGAACAATCCTTCAGTGGGCAGTAGAGCATAATGGATATGCCTGGTCAGAGTCCATGCTACAAAGGGTGTGTAAAGTTTTCATTAATTCAATCATACAAATTATGTAGAATATACAGTACTTCTGAAAAGGAAATTTTTGTCATTTTTTCTCTAGATTCTTCACTTGATTGGAATGGCACTACAAGAAGAAAAACAACATATTGAGAATGCTAGTGAAGATAATCTTGTGACTTTTACATTTAGTCAGAAAATTTCAAGTAGGTTGCTACTTCTGCACAAATTGCAATCTCTTCATATTTCTTTTACCTGTAGTAAGATGTATTATTCAGAATGTATTGGTTATATTTTAAAAAATACTTTTATTAAACTACTAGAAATAATAAGTGTCTTCTTATTCTCAGTCATCCAGGTCATAGTTGTCCCAAGATGTTTTTTTTCAGAAGACAGCTGGATTGTTTTTTTCCTTGAGAAGAAGACAATATTTCACTTCTCATCTAAGAAGCTTCATTGCTTAGGCAGGATGGTGGGGGCGGGGTTGGAAGGATCATATTTCTTTGCAATCATCTGGTCGTTAGCATTCTCTCGGAGATCTCTTGAGGCCACTTGGGAGTTTAACTGGCCTCAGAGTCAGCTGTATCAGAGTTCAAATAGGGGTAGAATCTTCTTGGAATTGCTGAAAGGACTACGTTGTAGACAGGAGATAAGTGGTGTCTTATCCCTCCCCTGCTCAATGTTATATAAATAGGCTCTGTTACCCCTCTTTCAAACCAATGGGCCTCTCTATCCAGAATGGGGACTTTGCTGCCTTCAAAAGAATGACCTTTATATATATATATATATCAAACATATATCAACTATAAATTGGGGGAGGGGGGGACATTACAATAAATCTAAACTACATGGAGATAAATCTATTATTTTCTATGATGAATATAGGTAAGATAGATAGATAGATAGATAGATAGATAGATAGATAGATAGATGGATGATAGATATGCATATTGTATTATATTGAAAAATATATATAGAACAAGAAACAGTAAAAAAAATGAAAAGAAGCACCCATTGGATTTTTGTTCCTCTGTGTTAAATTTATACAGCCAAAATAGATGCAAATAGATTTCCTTTCTTTCTTGAAACAGGGCCTGGTGAGACACCCCGCAATTCCCCAAGTATATTAGCCATGCTAGAAACTTTGCAAAATGCACCCCACCTAGAAGTGCATAAAGACATGATTAGATGGATACTAAAGGTAAATTGTACCATACCCTACTATAAACTTTATAGTTTTGTGGCCAAAATAAACATTTTAAGTAGCGAATACTAACATAGTTTCTTGTTCCAGACTTTTAATACTGTTAAGAAACTCCGAGAGAGATCTTCTACAAGTCCTGTTTTGGAGACTGAGGGAAATTTTATGGAAGAGGTAATATCAATGCAACGGAAAAGCAACACAATTTGGGTAGTACGTGTGTCCAAAAACAGATTCCAAATATAGTATGACAATCTAGCCAGCAAGTTATTTTACAAATTATTTTATATTACTATGCAACATCTAATATTTGTGTTGAGTTTTCTAATTAAAAACATTTTTAATCACCAATAGAGTGGTGATAGTCACAATAGGCAACTAATGGTGCAGAGTAAAAGCTTTATTATTAACTGATAATGATTGACTGAGCTCTCTTTACCAAAGAGAAATTAATTTAATTCTGTGGCTTTATTTTAATGTTTAATTGGGTGAAACACGAAGGAAAATATTTAATAGAATAGTGACTACCATTCCTTTCTTCATAAAATGAAAGAAAAACAAATCCTGTCAATTTCAAGTGTTTACTAGGTTTTATAATGACCTGGATGAGAGTGAACAAGCTGAAATTTAATTCCAGATAGGGTAGAGTACAATTATCTAAGTTGAGGATAAGTATACAATTTTTGTGAACAGGTTGGCTTCCTCTGAAAAAATAAATCCATTGTCGGGGAGTGTATTTTCAAATTCTGTATGGTAGTGGCTGCAAAGAGCACACTTGCACAATTGCATTTAGCAAATATTCCTGAGCTGAATAAATCTGGCAAGAGTAATCCATAATTTGCTAGCATTGTCATTATCTTATTTCAATATGCTCTAAATGGACCCTCAAAGGTCCTCAGAAATTTACAAAATGTAACCACTAGACCATTACCTTCTGCACATTTTTGTGATCACATTGTACTAATACTGAAAGAGAAGAATTGAATGCCATTTGTTACTTGCTTAGTAGAAATAGTACATTTAAAAACCTTGTGTAACTAAGGGTTTGACTCTTGTTATGAGCTAGCTTGAATATTGAGATCTGCAAGAGAAGCCTTACTTACAGGAGCCATTGATTAGGCATCTGATAAAGGGCCTTCTATTGTGTCATTCCCATCTTGTGAAACATACACTCTTTGAAATTGTGATTGGTCTCACTTTCTCTTCTTTCAGAAAAGGCGTCAATAGATCACCATCTTTTGGATTGTTTAATATTACCTTTGTACATTATTTGAAATGTTAAAAAATATAATGCATCCATAAAATGGTTTTATGGAGAAACATGCTATAACTTTAGTTAATAAAAATAATTTAAGAAAGATTTCCTTTAATAAATGTTAGCATTCTTAAACAGGAGAAAAGTGGCAAATATTAGTGTGTAGGAATGCTTGACTTACTTTGACTAATACTAATCTAACGTGCATTAAATACATAAATTACACATCTGCAAAGACTTACATTATTAATTGTATACCATTGCTGACATATTAACTTAATAGAGCTCACGAGATAAAGAAAAGGCTGAGAGGAAACGAAAAGCAGAGATTGCTAGATTGCGAAGGGAGAAGATCATGGCACAAATGTCTGAGATGCAGCGGCATTTCATTGATGAGAACAAAGAACTCTTCCAGCAAACTATAGATGAACTTGAAACTTCTACCTCCAGAGTGCATGATCACAGGTAAGATAAAAGTGTCAATAAGCTTTGGCAACCTTTAGAACAATTAATCAGTGGAACAACTTGCCTCCAGAAGTTGTGAATGCTCCAACACTGGAAGTTTTTAAGAAGAAATTGGAGAACCATTTGTCTCAAATGGTATAGGGTTTCCTGCCTGAGCAGGGAGTTGGATTTGAAGATCTCCAAAGCAGGGGTGGGTTCTACTTACCTTTATTACCGGTTTGCAACGGGATCGCTGTAGAACATTTCTGGAGAGGAAAATACAGCATAAGATGATTTGGATAAAAATATTTGCATTCAGTTATACATTGCTTTAGTAAATATTCCAACTAAATGCTTACTAATATCATTTCATCCTAGTCCTTCAGTTTCAGATACCAGGCTTATTGCCTTGGGTCCTGAGCAGACTAAAGTGTGTGAACAAAGACAGATAGTTACTTGTATCTTATGCCAAGAAGAACAGGAGGTCAAGATGGATAACAGAGCAATGGTGCTGGCAGCATTTGTTCAGAGATCAACAGTCTTGTCCAAAAATAGGAATAAAGTGATTTCAGATCCTGGTGAGTAGTTTATATACCATTTTGAAGGACCATATAATTATAATATTCAAATGCACAATATTCTGTTTTGAATTATACGGGAATGAATAATATAATTATTCATTATATTATAAAACAGTGTTTCTCATATTTGGCAGTTTTAAGATGTGTGGACAACATGCTGGTTGGGGAATTCTGGGACTTGAAGTCCACTCATCTTAAAGTTACAAATGATGAGAAACTGCTATAAAATAATAATTAAGTCAGCCCATTCACAAGTATCCTAATGCTAGCTTAGTGTATTGGCCTTAGGAGTAAACAGTTATATGGTTTGCAAAACTTTTCAGTTATGTGGCTATATAAGGAATGTGAATAATCTGTTTGTGACTATTATCTCTGTTATTTTTCATATACAGAAAAATATGATCCATTATTTATGCATCCAGACCTGTCATGTGGAACACACACTGGTAGTTGTGGACATATTATGCATGCACATTGCTGGCAAAGGTAATTTTTAAAAAATATTAACAGGTGTTAAGGATGCTGTGTCAAAGCAGCTAAGATACATTTTTTTTCCTACTGTCTACTATGCTTGGCCAGTCATGTAACGCATTTTGGTGTATTATTGCCAAGAAAGTTGTTTCCTTCTTGCTCAGGCTTTCTACTACATGCTTGATGAAACTTAGCTCTCTTGGCTTCTCACAGTGCATTTGACTGATTTTTTACACATTTGAGGTACAAGAATGCTACTGAGAAAGCAAATATCTAAAAATTTCTTTGCTGTCTTATTCTGTTTAGGACTTACTGCTTAGGAGGACAATGTCATACCTATTCCATATGTGCAAATGTCCATCTGGCAAATAAAATTGCAACTTGTTTCTTAAAATGAATACTCCCTTTTCAAGTAGACTTTCTCATTTTGTCAAACCATGGAACAACAACAATGCTTTAGGTGTTGAATTAAATTTATAAGAAGAAAGTTGTTCAGAAAAATTCTTCAGAATGATAAGAAAATATTATAATATTTTTCTTTACAATAAATCAGTTATTTTCTTACTTACCTTTTAAATAAGATAAACTACTATTCAGTTTCTATTTCAATTGGCCATGATATAGTCCAAGTCTGGGATGAATATGAGATAGGATTAGGAGTCCCAGTGCTGCTTAGAACATGGTGATCATCATGGGTGGTGCTGTTATGATAAGATATGTGAAGGATGACATCAGAAAGTTTATCTTTTTGTGATGGCCCTAGAACAAAATAATTAACTATCCTTTTCTTTTAAAAAAATGGAAAAAATAATGTAATTTGATAGATAGGCAGGCAGGCAGGCAGTATTTATGAAGACAGCATATATATTGCATGGGTCAGAAAGAAAGCTGAGAAAATATCCACAGACCCCTCACATCCTGGACATAATCTGTTTTAACTCCTTCCTTTGGGATGCCACTGTAGGGCATTGCATGCCAAAACAACAGTTTTTTCCCCAGATGCCATGACTCTGCTGAACACCTAATTCCCATAATACTACCTTATGTCTAAGTATATGGTATGGCTGTAGTATTATTATTATCCTTCTCATCTTCTCTACTACCTCCTCTTATTGGTATCATTATTATGATTATTATTACTCTTTTGTGTTGCATATACACCGAGAGCTTCTGCACTGGAGACAAATTCCTTGTGGGTCTAATCACATTTGGCCAAAAAATATATATTCTAATTCTAATAAAGTATTCTAGTATCCAACAAATACTTTAGAACTAATATTATAATATTATGCTTAAGTTATGTTGCTTTCTAAAGGTATTTTGATGCTGTGCAAGCAAAAGAACAAAGACGACAACAAAGATTACGAGTGCATACAAGTTACGATGTAGAAAATGGTGAATTCCTTTGTCCTCTCTGTGAATGCTTAAGCAATACCGTCATTCCTCTTCTTCCTCCTCCAAGGACTTTGTTTAGCAGGTTAGTAATTTCATAAAATACTTTGTTAATTAATAATTATTTATGTACAGGTAATCCTTGATTTACAATCAGGCAATTGGCAACCATTCAAAGTTACAATGGGCCCCCAAAATTATGCAAACTGGATTCAAAGTTCTGATGGACATAGGCATGGACAAACACACACACACGCACACACACACACACAGAGAGAGAGAGAGAGAGAGAGAGAGAGAGAGAGAGAGAGCGCCATGTGATTGCAATTTGAGTGCTGTGCATCCAGCCCACATTTATGGTTGTTTGTAGCATCCTGCAGTCGCACGACCATGATTTATGATATTTTTTGCCGTAAACTGGCATCTACTTCTAGTTTCCGGCAAAAGATGCCCATTGCAGACAATGGGTTTGCTTAATGACCTTCATATTCGCTTAATGACCACTGCAAAAAAAATCATAAAATCACGTGCAGACATTTGCTGACCTACTTAATGACTGGCATGACTTACAGCTGTAATTTTAAGCCCAATTACAGTCGTAAATTGAGGACTATTTGTATATGATAGATGCGGATAGTAGAATGCTTCAGTTTGGCAAGACTTTGTTTATACATGTGGAAACAGTAAAGAACTCAGCTTGAAAGAATACCCTTGTATCATTCTTGGTTTTTGGGCCTACTTACTGTTTGCCTTCCCTGTTGACTTCCCCACAAAGTCAATGGGGAAACTGGCAGGGAAGGTCACAAGTCGCTGGGGTTAGTCTCCCTTACCTGCATGCCCAATCCCAGCCTCTTTGCAGTTGTGCCACACAAACCACTCATAGCTCCCCCTGTGTATCTTTCCTGACCCTTGCCAGACCTCCCTGGCACACTCATATGCACCTTATGCATATTCCTGACCTGTGTGATGCCTCTTGTACACAGTCTCATACTCATCCTGTACCCATCTCGACTTGTGCTGCACCTTTTATGCATTGTCTCAAATCTTCCTGTCTCATGGCAACCATTCCCTGCCTCCCTGCACAATCCCTCGTTCTCTCACCTGATAACAGCCTTACCTGACTTTGTTTGTTGGAAGCCACCTGGAAGTTTCCTTACCTAATTGCTCTGGGATTCAATGAACAGCAGCAATGGGACTGAAAGATTGCTGTTGCTAAGTGATGCATTTGCATTTTAGACCCCATCGCTTATCAATGGAAATTCCATTCCCAATTGCTATTGAAAGTCAAAGACTACTTATAAAAAGCACCTATAGGTAATGTTTTAACATTTAAGCAATATTTTACATTTGTTCATTTTTGATAGATTAGACTTTGCAAAAGAACAAAATCTAGTTCAGTGGATAAGAAGAATATCTCAGCAAATCAAAGCATTGCTTATGCTTCAAGATCAGGAAAGTGCCAGTAAGTGTAAATTTTTAATTTATACTGCACATATTTCTTGAAAGATGCTGAATACAGTAATGTCTTTTGGAGTTTTTTTCTTTTTTTCTTTGGGGGAGGCATTTTTCCTTAGTATTAATACTGAGATTGTTCTGATCTTCAAGACTGAATTAAACTGCTACCTCATCCTATGTAAAGATTTCAGGCATTATGAATAATAATGATGATTTATTTTTAAAATAATATATTGTTGTTATTTTTAGATAATCTTCCTTGTAATAACTCAGAAAAAATGGATGAAGCACATCTACCTGAAGGATTTAGGCCAGAGGTTCAACCAAAGTATGTATTGGTTGCATTGATTATCAATTACTAATGTATACAATATAAGTAGAAGAATTTATGACATTAGCTTTTCAGGTAATGCTATACTATATTTGTATTTATATTTATCCATGTAGTATTCATCTTATGGATACAGACATACTGAGGATACTTGGCTCCCTTCCTTTCATTCTGGGATAAAGAATTGTGTCAGAATCAACCTACTTGTTATATTTATGCTGTTTAGAAGTCTGATACTTTACTTAGGATTTGCTTTATTGTTACAGTATGATTCAGTGGCTAGTTTGAATATTCAAAATCTAATCATAGAATGTCCAGGCCACAGCATTCAGGGGTAATTAGAACATTCTGTGGTTTTTTTTAGGCGTATTAAAAAAAGAGTTGCCATCTCTGATTATGTTAATTGGATGGGTTGGATCCAATTATTCATTTTTCTGGCTGATATATTACCAGCAGAAAAGATTCCTAATATTTATACAAACTCCCAACTTCGCTCTGAGTGTTGGGAAAGGAAACCCCATCACAATAGATTTGTAAACCAAAAAGCATTTTAGAATAAATGTATATTCATAAACTGCTATAAAAGTATTTTTGATTATATTGCTATTTAAAACATAACCAAGATTACTTGAAATAATGATATGAAATTACTTCTTTGATATCTGTAAATACATCACCAAATCAGTAGAATATTTATTCCCCTTTTTGAATGTCAAAAGCCATGATATATAAATGGGAATTTCAATGGAAGCATTACCATGGATGGGATAAATGAAGTAAAAGATACTAATGACAAGGCCATTAATGTTAAACATTTCTTCATTTAGTCACTGACAGTTGCCACTAAATCAGGCTCAGCTGTTGGTGACTATATGGACAAATATTTGCTATGTTGGTCTGTGATTGTCTCTTCTGTCTCTTTGATTTCATCCATATACCTTATTCTTTGCCTTCCCTTTCTTTTACTTCCTTCTCAACCTTGCTTGTCTGAGACAGGATGTGCTGCCATGACACTGGTATAAACAGTTTTTCTAAACTATCATCCATTCCCATCATATGCTCAACATCAATTTTTGCTTGCTGATCATTGTCTGAAAGGAGCCTTAAATCTTATTTGGTCCAGGACTGATTCACTGGTTATTCCTGCAATATTCTCAGTAACAATAAAAGGGTGTGTCAGCCCAGCCCAATTAAAGTTTTATTCCTTGCCATTTTGGGCAAGCAAATGAAGTTTAGCTTCTAAATATCATGTCATAACTGTTGTAGATAATGGTGTCTATTTTCAATTAATTAAGGAATCCATATTCTGAAAGCATCAAAGAAATGCTGAAAACATTTGGTACTGCAACATATAAAGTTGGTCTGAAAGTTCATCCCAATGAAGAAGATCCACGTGTACCTATAATGTGCTGGGGCAGTTGTGCATTTACAATCCAAGCAATAGGTAATATTTATTCATTAAAATGTTGGCAATCACTGGAGGGTGATCAAGTTTAGATTCTGTATTCGTCTCATTTAATTATGATTTTTATATTCTGCAGAACAAATTTTAGCTGATGAAGAAAAACCATTATTTGGTCAATTGTCTTGCAGACAGGTAAGAGTAAAAACTATCATAGTGTAAATTATTGAGGGATAGGGATACAGTAGGTGATGAGGTTATAACACTTACGATTCTGCTGTAATGTTAGAAAATAGCATTTTATAACATAAACAGTAAGTTGTGAGGAACACTGTGACATTGTTTCCTCATACCAAAGGCCCCTGTATATTAATTACTCTAGAATTTCAGTATGGCCAATAATAATAAATTTATGTATACATGCATGCATGTATTTATTTATTTATCCATCCTTCCTGCCCTTATTATTTTACAAATAACTCAAGGCAGTGAACATATCCAACACACCTTTCTCCTCCTATTTTCCCCACAAAAACAACTCTGAGGTGGGTTGGGCTAAGAGCATGACTGGCCAAGGTCATCCTGCCAGGTTTCATGGCTAAGGCAGGACTAGAACTCACCGTTTCCTGATTTCTAGCCTGGTGCCTTCTTGTTTTTTTAATTATTAATTAATAAGTTACTAATTATTAACAATCCACAAATTTTAATTTTCATTATAACAGTATGAAGGAATGAATTTGGCTATTTGTGTACCATTGTTATTATGTTCTATTTAGGATGACTGTCTTACTTCATTAACACGATTTGCGGCTGCACAGTGGACAGTTTCTTCACTATTAGCAGTACAGGGTCACTTTTGTATGCTTTTACCATGTAAGTACAACGTTAGGATGATTTATTTAATTTCCGTTATAAAGACAGATTTTGAGCACATGAAACAGCTTGAGTAAATTTCATATGAGGCATCAACTGATACCATGTTTTCCCAAAAATACGACCTACCCCGAAAACAAGCCCCAGCCTGATTTTCACGCCTATATAAGTCCTACCCCAAAAATAAGCCCAAGTTAAGCGCAGCACACCGTTTGGTTATATGAGGTGGGCTGAGGTGCATGCGTAAAAATCAAGCTGGGGGGTGTGTGGAGCTGCCCCAGGCGCTGCACATCTGTTTATGTTAGGACTGCTACAGACAGGCTTCCCAAGCCCCGACACCTGTCATGCCAGTGCTGTCGTCCACAGGAGGCCATGTGGCATGTTGCACCGTTGCTGTTGCTCATGGCAGGAGACTGCATGGTACATTGCGCCTGGGCCGCTCCTCATGGCAGGAGGCCGCTCATGGCCACAGAACAGTTGAGCACCAGCACAACAGGTGTTGGGACATGGGAGGCCTGGATGTCATGGTCCTAAGGTAAGCGGGTAAGACATCCCTTGAAAATAAGATCTGGTGCTTATTTTGGGGTCAAAAAAAAAAAAAAAAAAAGACCAGGTCTTATTTTTGGGGAAAACATGGTACTTTTGTACAGATTGTTGCTGACAAACGTTTTGTGTGCATTAAGAGTACATTTCCATATGAGTTGTGTCATTTATCAACATGGAATACAACGAACAGGATACATATTTCAGATTTAACAGAACTCTGGCAGTGGCTTATGCTCTATATAGAGTCTTCAATTTGGGGCAAAATGTGCTTTAAATAATGTGTTTTACTAAACATAATTATGATTGTTGCTAATAAGAGTAATTCTGCTTGCCCTAGAAGAATGTGAGTTTCAAAAGTTATTCTTCTCAAAGCATAACAAAAGACTTAAAATGTTGGTTTGCCCTTTGTTCAGGTAGTCCTCAACTTAACAACCACAATGGAGCCCAAAATTTCTTTTGCTAAGTGAGACAGTTTTAAGTTAATTTTGCCCCATGTTATTACCTTTCTTGCCACAGTTGTTAAGTGAATTACTGCAGTTGTTAAGTTAGTAACATGGTGGTTAAGCGGATCTGTCAGTAACAGTTTTCTAGCATCTTCAGTAGAAGTTTTTCCTACCTTTGATAGCTAACAGTTCTCATTGGAAGTGACAGACTCCAAATTTGAGAATGAAAATAATGGATATAATTTTTTTTTTAAATTTGATTTACATGCCGCCCTTCTCCAGAGACTCAGGGCGGCTTACAATGTGCTAAGCAATAGCCTTCATCCTTTTGTATATTTATACAAAGTCAGCTTATTGCACCCACAACGGGTCCTCAATTTACCTACCTTAGAAAGGATGGAAGGCTGAGTCAACCTTGAGCCTGGCGAGATTCGAACCTGCAGTAATTGCAGGCAGCTGGTCTTAATAACAGCGTGCTTTAGACCACTGTACTACCAAGGCTCCTAATTATTTTCTGTTTCTAAGTTGTGGGCTTTTATCCTATAAATCAGTAATTTTGTAACCCTGTTTTAAAAAATCTATCAAATATATTCTGAAGCTCATGAAATTTCAAAACCTAATCATGTTGTTTTGTTCTGTTGTTTTATAAGTACATTGAATGCTTCTGTACCAAATTCCTTGTGTGTCTAACCACACTTGGCCAAGTAAAGTAAAGTTAAAGTTATTAAACTTTTTTTTTATATTTTAAACATCCAGCACTGGTGCCTTATGAAAAAAGTGGAAATCTTCCATGCATTCTTGACATCGACATGTTTCATTTATTGGTAAGTGATTAAAAATTCTAATAGTACTGCTGCAGAAAATAGTATTAGCAAGATGTTTTGCTAAATATAAATTGGTTTAGCAAATTATTTTATTAAGCATACAGCTCACAAAAATTTTTCAAGGTAGATCACCATTTATATATGGTCCAGAACTTCTGGAGTATCAAATTTCCTTTTTTTGTAGTAGCAGTTCAAAACTGTTCCTATTATGCTTAATGCTAAGGAGGTTTGTCTTGCAAAAACATACTTATTTTCCCTTTCATCACCTACCATTTTCTCCTTTATCTGCAGGTATGCCTGGTATTCTCTTTCCCTGCTGTACACTGTCAGGACTTTTCAGGAGTCAGTCTTGGTACAGGAGATATTCATATCTTCCACCTTGTCACTATGGCACATATTGTACAAATAATACTTACCTCATCCACAGGTAAAGTATACTGTCTAGGCTATGCTGAATTTTGTGTAGGAAAATTAGGATTACAGTGACTTTAATGGGAAATGTATATGGAAGTCTGGTTTAGGTTTTATTTTAGGGCAACTGAATATTTTTGAACAAAGAAAATACTAATCATTGCAATGCAATAATATATAGGTATATGAAAATTGAGGGTTGAGGTTTACTTTTCTTTTTATTTGCATATTTTCATCCCATATTTCACTGTTGTAAAATATCTGCAATTGTTTACAAATGGAAATGGTTGTATAAATTATTTAAATTCTAAATTTAAAATTTTTGCAAAGTATAAATAATATAGTGTAATGTAGCATTCAAAGTATTTCAGCAAATGTACTTGAATCAAAAGTAAATTTGAATGAAGGGCTTTTTGAGTGTTACTGGAGAAATCTGTCAATTTAATGGGCAAGGGTAAACTATATAAAGGAAAGCAATGGGAATAGGAGTTGACAAAAACTGTAATCATTGTGTATTGAAATTACACCATATGAAATAGGACAGATATAAATATATCAAGTTTCATTGATTGTTGAAATTCTACTGATAAAATTGGTTTAGAATAGGGGTAGGTAAGTTATTTGACTTCTGAATGTTCATTTCAACCTTTCTAAAAGTTCTCCAATGCTTTTCTGATTATTTGAAGAGTTTGAACTGAAAACACTCTGTTTAAAGTTCAAAATAAAGTGGTTTTGAGCTTAGTTAGAATAGTTCTATCAGAATAGAGCAGTTGCTAGTTTACATTTTGTGTTTGCTTTTTCAGAAGAAAATGGTATGGACCAAGGAAACTCTACTGTTGAAGAAGCTGCTGTTCTTGCTTTGCATAAGCATATTGGCCAGTGTGTGGGCAGGTAAAACAGATTGCTTGAATCCTAGATTTTTCTATGTATTGTTTTCTTTCCCTTGTATTGAGATTCTCAGATTATTTTACAGAATGGAAGCAGATTCTTACAATTTAGCAATGTTGCAGGTATTTTAGTTCTAGATTATTTGGACTTTAAAGACCAAAGAAAGCTGTTTTACCATATTTGATATTACTGGAAGGTAGTGTTGAATAACCATGCTGTAAATTTGAGCCTTGGTAGTACGGTGGTCTAAAGCACGCTGTTATTAAGACCAGCTGCCTGCAATTACTGCAGGTTCGAATCTCGCCAGGCTCAAGGTTGACTCAGCCTTCCATCCTTTCTAAGGTAGGTAAATTGAGGACCCAGTTGTGGGGGCAATAAGCTGACTTTGTATAAATATACAAAAGGATGAAGGCTATTGCTTAGTGCATTGTAAGCCGCCCTGAGTCTCCGGAGAAGGGCGGCATATAAATCAAATTTTTTTAAAAAATTGGTTCTTATAGAACCAAATTTAGTTGATCAAATGGCTGATATATTTTGGAGCAATCAGTGTTTCCAAGTGTCTTTAAAAACTAGTTTAAGCATTTATGTGGTAGGAAAAATTTTTATCTAAATAAAAATGCTAATTTTTGTATATTATAATGAATCAGCTGTCTAACATTGCTCTGCTGTGGAATTATAAAAGGAGATTAGGAGTTAGTACCTTTATTTCAGAACTAGTAAAATGGAAATGGCTAGCAAGCCTGGAAGATTGTTATCTGATTGTTTAGAGTCTCAATCTATCCCATTGGCAATCATTTTTAATACAAGTTTTCTATGGAAAGAAGCAGGCAGAGAGAAATATTTCTTCTTATTTTGCCCCCTTTACATTAATGGCTATGATTCTAAACTAATCAAATAAAGCAGAGGGACAAGATTATGCTGCCTGTGTATTTGTACTTAAAGTAGATTACCGTATTTTTCGGAGTATAAAATGCACCAGAGTATAAGACACTCCTGCCTTTTTTGGTGAGGAAAAGAAGAAAAAGAAATCTCCCTCTGCCTCTGCGCAATTTTGCCTTGTTGCAGCAAACAGCAAACAGCCTGCTTTACTTTCATTTTCTTTTTCAGCATAGCTAGATTAGCCCAAGGGAAAAAAAATATGCTCCAGCATATTTATGCTCCAGCAAAATATGCTCTGCTGCTTGCTACAAAGAGCAAGCAGCAGAGCCCTGCGCAAAACAGCTGAGAGAAAATTAGCTGAGAGTCGGGAGGCCAATCCAATCAACTTGTGCTAATTAGGCTGTGCTGAAGTTGAAAGGAGCTGTTTTTTCTTGCTGTTTGCTTGCAAGGAGGTAACTGCTTGCAAGCAAACAGGCAGAGGCCAAAGGGTGGGGGCCAGTGGGTGGGCGGAGCTACATTCAGTGTATAAGATGCACCTAAATTTTCACCCCCTTTTAGGGGGAAAAAAGGTGCGTCTTATACTCTGAAAAATATGGTAACTAGCTCACATTCTAAGTATTCATGTACAAATATTAAGAAACCTAGCCTACTTACCCATTTTATTTGGGAAAATAAATTTACCTATATAAATTTATTTTAGATTATGTTTTTACTACTCAGTTACCTGAATGGTTGAATATATGTTCAGCAGGTGGCTGTACCTAGCCAAATTTGACTCATCTCAAAAAACAACAACAACTAATTAGGTTTAGACTTAGTATATCTATAAAAGAATACCAGCAAATTGAATCTTCCTCAGTTCCACCGCATTCAAGTGTGATATTTATGAGATAGAAAGCAGACTAGTTCTTTAGAAGTTAACAAATGATTGTCTCCTTATTGTTGGAGGGATATGAAGCACAATGTTTTCTCAAAAAATATGGGAATTGAATGTCCATATTTGATAAGTATTAAGATTTTTCATAGTTTATATAATGCTTTATCATAGGGGTGTCAAGCTCAATTTCATTTAGGGCCGCATCAGGGCTCTAGTTGACATCGGGGGCATGGCTGACTGGGTGGGAGTGGCCAGCTTGACACCACTCCTCAAACTGCTGGCATGTTTCCTCTTCGCACCCGGTGGGCTGGGCCAAAGCCACCCTGGCCTGATGTTTCTTCTTCGCATTGGACAGACTGGGCTGAAGCGACACGGGCCGGTCCCTTGTGTTTGACACCCCTGCTTTATCATGTTACTTATCCTTATTTAATGCTGTATCTTGATACAAAGATACAATTCAGGTGGCGCTTAGAAGTCATGAAGTACCATTTTGCTAATCTGGCTACCTTGATTAAAAAGCTTAGGCAGAAACTCTATTTGCATTTCTGCATCAAAGAAACATTTATATCCATATGTTTCCTTTCATCATGAATGTATATGATAACAATACTCCACTTTCACCATTCTGCAGTTCTGTTGATTTTATGTATATAAACATTTCTTACCCATGTAGGGTTTTGACTTTGTAAGATAACAAAATAGTTTTTAAAAACAGGCTCAACAATTTTTTTAAAAAATCCTGTATTTGCCTTTTAGCTGCTAGAGTAAAATGTAGATTAAATGCATAATTTTTAAACATGAAATTTTCTTTGGTGAAAAGCAAAATGATTTTATTTGTAGTGCCTTGAAAGAAATTTCTTCTGGATGGCACCTATGGAAAAGTATAAAAACTGGGATCATGCCTTTTCTGAGGTGCTCTGCTATGTTCTTCCACTATTTAAATGGAGTTCCCATACCACCAGAATTGAAAGGTAATTTTTAGTTGGCTATATTGGTTTGAATTCTAATAATGCTTTCTGAATAGAATAGCTTCAAACTACTCAGGTGAAGAAATGCAAACATCCAATTTCATTGCCTCAATGTCCATCCAGTCTTCTGAAACTGATTTTCAGGTGTACAGGTGTCTACTTAGGGTAATAAAACTATTGAAACATGTAATTCACTTGAAAACTGATATAGAGAGTTGGACCAGTGATACATTCTCAGCACAACTCATCTCACAGGGTTGTTATTGTGGGGAAACTAAGAGGAGGAAGGAGTATGTTTGCCATCTTGAGATATTTTTAAAAATAATCAAAACAGGATAAAATAAATAGAATATAAATGATGTGAGTGTGAATATATTTTCTGCCTTAATTTAATGAGGAAATAGGGAAACTAAAGTAGATTATATGTTTCCACTATACTTCTTTGTTGTGATTTATGCATATAATTATTGTATGTTATTTAGCATGTAACAATAGAATTCTTTGCAAATATATCAATATTAATTGTAGCTAATTATAAATATACTTTTTTTATGTACAGCCAATGGGGCAAACCAGTTTGAATACTTATGTAGCTATCTCTCCTTGCCAAGCAACCTAATTTGCCTTTTTCAAGAGAACAGCAAAATTACAAATACATTAATAGAAAGGTAGGAACAATATGTTATCCATTTAAATACACAAATGTCTATTTAAAAATACAAATCTTGCATGGTGTTTATGAAGTAGACTTTTAAGAGGGAAAACCAAGAAAGAGCAGTGCAATTAATTGAGGAAAGAATTAAGGATAAAGAATTCTTGTGAACTGATGTGCTAGGTCATGAATGTGTAGTATTTGAAATGCCTTTCAAATACTTGAACAGTCATTACAGGCTTACTCATCATCAGTATTCACCATTTGATCATTTGGAGAGGATCTGGATGAAGAATATAACTATATGTTTACACAAATCAAATAAATAAGTAAATGATTCTGCTATGTTATTTTCACTGAAATAAAATAAATTCCCCTTTTAAGAATATTTGTATTATACTGGATTATATTCATAATTGGCTACCTATAAACATGTGTTGTAGATTAAGGAAAGCAAAGTATGATTCTTCGATTATTTCAGAGGAAATAAAAACGTTTTTTTCACCCTTTTTTTAAAGCTGGTGTAATAACAGTGAAGTAAAAAGATGCCTGCAAGGTCAGCGACAAGCCATAAGGTGAGGATTTCTTAACTATTGAAGTTTCTGTGACAGTTGAAAAATAGGAACACAAAGCTTGTAGTTATTGAAACTAAGCAGTACAGGTAGTTCTTGACTTACAACAGTTCATTTAGTGACTCTTTGAAGTTATAACAGCACTGAAAAAAGTGACTTATGATCATTTTTCACATTTATGACCATTTCAGCATCCTGATGGTCATGTGGTCAAAATTCAGATGCCTAGCAATTTACTCATATTTATGAAGGTTACAGTGACCTGGGCTGTGACCTGTTACAGAACCTTTTGCAAGCTTCTGACAAGCAAAGTCAATGGGGAAGCTAGAGTAATTTAAGAACCGTGTTACTAACTTTGCTGCAGTGATTCACTTAGCAACTATGGCACTTAAAATGGAACAAAATTCACTTAACAAATGTCTCACTTAACAACAGAAATTTTGGGCTCAGAGAGACAGACAGACAGACAGACAAAGAGGGAGAGAGAGATAAACAAGTGCTGCATTTATATATCTCTAAATATTGGGAGAACGATATTTAATAAATAGATTACAAGAATAATACAACAATATTTATTCCAAAAATGCTAAACATCTAAACACCGAACAACTAAAAAACTAAATGCTACTTCTCTCTGCATCTTTTGTTACTCTCTCATTATATTATGATGTACCTACCCTGTTTCCCTGAAAATAAAACATCCCCTGATAATAAACCCAATCGGGCTTATTTGAGCGCATGCGCTGAAATACGCCTTCCCAGAAAATAAGCCCTTGCCAAAAATATTTAATCGCATGTGCAGCTGGTCCCCGCCATTTCCTCTGGTTAGGGTTAGGGAAACAACTGGAAATCAGGTGAAACGGCAAGAGGAGCCCCGTCTTGCTCCAGGCACCCAAAATAATAAGACCTCCCTGAAAATAAGGCCAAGCGCTTATTTCGGGGTTCAAAAAATATAAGACAGGGTCTTATTTTCGGGGAAACACGATATCATACTTACTGCCAAACTAGTTGTTTGTGTTTGGAAGCAGCATCTCAACATTTGTAATATGAACTGTGGTCCAGATGGGGCATGGGAGAATGTATAACAGAATTGTTTGTTATAAAAAATTACTATATTATCCTACTAACTTATAGGTAATATTGTCATACTTTTTAAAGATTTTTCTCAGGTAAAAAAGCTACCATATAGCTAATAGTTAATTTCTGCAATAGATCAAACTATTTATATATTGAGCTTCATAAGCAGTTTCAAATTTTTATGACATACTTTGCATTTATATGATTTCAGCTATCCACGAGAGTCTAATAAATTAATAGAACTTCCAGAAGATTACAGCTGCCTAATCAATCAAGCATCTAATTTTTCGTAAGTGAAGCAGAAAGCATAAGATGTGTCCTGATCCTCTGGTTCCTACTACTTTTTTCCATTCTGCTGCTCTGTTCTCTTTTCCACATTCTGCATTCCATATCACAACCAGAAACAAATTTTGTGGATGGGGGTAACACAATGAGGCTACATGAGGGAGAAAATGTGGAGTAATCTCTGTTGTAGCAGGGCATTTTCACTTGCAATACTTTGAATCTAAGCCGTAGTCTTTTAACTGGAGAATGTATATTTAGTACGTCATGATAACAAATGTTTCATTATATTAACCAAATGTTTTGTTTCTTTCAAAGGTGTCCAAAGTCAGGTGGTGATAAAAGTAGAGCACCAACATTATGCCTTGTCTGTGGAACTATGTTGTGTTCTCAGAGTTACTGTTGTCAAACAGAACTGGAGGGAGAAGATGTAGGAGCATGTACTGCACATACATATACATGTGGCTCTGGAGTTGGAATCTTCCTCAGGTAATCATATGATTTTAAATTTGGATTTGGTCAATTTTGCTAAATTGTCACACTGTAAGAAAAGAGCAAATAATGACAAAAGATTCAGCAGCAAAATCAATTTATTTCTTTATGTAATTTGCAAGGCTGTCCATCTCATTATGACATTAACATCTAAAAACAAAAACAAATAGCAAATAACATAACCATCTTATAGATTCTCATGCCCAGGAATTTAACCATGTCTTTAATGCCTTGCAAATGGCCAGCAGGATTGGGGCCAATCTGATCTCCAGAGGAATGCTATTCCAAAGGAGATGCACCACTATGGAAATGGTTTATATCTTGGATCTCATAAAATGTCCCACTTTAATTGACAGGGCACATAGGACACTCCCCTGAAGGTCTGATAGGATGAGTAAAATTAATCACGGAGACATAGTACCAAAAATGGTCTCATTACTCCTGCTTACTCTGATGTGATGAATTCTATTCTCTAGAAATTGATGGAATAATTTATTGGACAATATTAGGAGATTGCATACCATCTTTATTCTGTCTTTTTTTTTCAGAGTACGTGAATGTCACGTGCTATTTCTAGCTGGAAAAACAAAAGGTTGTTTCTATGCTCCTCCCTATTTAGATGACTATGGAGAGACTGATCAAGGACTCAAGTAAGTTTTTCATATGAAGACTGATACTATATGCAAATTTCATTCATCCTGCTTTGAGAATTTTTCCAAAAATGAAGAAATGAACTGCATAAATAGACTATTTTTGTTGCAATAGTCCAAATGGCCACTGTACTCATTCCATATCCAGTATAGCCAGTATATAATTGCAGACTTAAAAGAAACAAAATATTTTAAAAAGTAGGATAAATCTAATAGTAATAATTATAATAATTTTAAAGAAATTGAATTGAATATCTATGAAGGAATTATTTCAGAGTGAATCTTCTGGTTTTATAAAATGGACGTACTGTATATCCAAAGCCAGGGGCATTGGTTAATACATAAATTGAAGTATTTGAGTAGGGGGGAGCTTCATAGAAACTTTATTTTGTTCACCTGACTCTTTTCACACACACTAGCAATCTCAGGTAAGAGTAAAATCCATATGCAAAATCATTATAAGCATTTCTAGCCACTGAGCTACAGTATTTCAAGGTGTATATGGGCTATTTGGAGTATTTGGAGAAAATTCATACATATAAAATTTCATATTATTATTTCATATTCCTGATTTATATGTTCTTTTTCTTCCCTTGTCTAGGCGTGGCAATCCTTTACATCTGTGCAGAGAAAGATTTAAAAAGATTCAAAAACTCTGGCAACAACACAGTATCACAGAGGAAATAGGACATGCACAAGAAGCAAATCAAACTTTAGTAGGCATTGACTGGCAGCATTTATAACTTATTTTCTGCGTTCTAGAACTCAATAATTCTTTCGTAATCCATCATAATGCGTCAAGCAAAAAAGAAATAGGAAACGATGGAAAATAATAAAGAGAGGAATTAATTTTTTTCCATTTTTGTTTTATACATTTATTGGTTACCATAACCATATAACTTTACTGTGTAGCATATTTAATTAATAGTATTATTTGCACTGAGCTTCCCTCACAATCTTTGTTGATTTCTCTAACTTGGCTGAGTGAATTTGTACAAAGTTATACTAGGCATCTACTGAAACCTCCTTTGATAATGGAAGAAGAAAAATTTGGCTGAAATAGCATCTTAATCAAGCACAATGCTGAAGCACTGTGGTCTCCTTTTTGTAGTAAATCTGAGCCATTTTACATTTTAGTACTCAAACTGTTCTATACTTGGAATTAGCTGAAAACAGGTGCAAAAAATGTAGCAATGGATTTATTTACAAGAGTGCTAAATAACACTCATTGAAAATGACTTTGTAATCTGCAGTTTTGCATGGCTCCTCGGCATTAGTCCTTTTAACTAAAAGAGAACAACTTCATAAGGGAAACTAATTTAATTATCTTCTTGAAGTCATGCACACTTTAGGAGTATTTTGTGTGGATTGTGATACTGACATAGTAAGCAAGGACTGTTTTCCACAATATGATTGGTAAGACTTTGATATTACATTTTTTTTCCTTAGAATGTAACATAGCAACTTCATCCCTTGGAGGAGTCATGTAAATCTTGATTTGATCTCAAATTGAAGAAGCTGAGAATAAGAATTTTTTAAATATTTATTCCAGTTTTCAAGATTCTGGATATATTAGCCTTTTTACAATTCTTATGATGAAATAGAGGAACCCAGTATCTGTGGGGGTCCAGTTGCAAAACTTAATAGTTACTAATTTCCTTCGCAGGCATCAACAAACACATGAATTTGCACTTGGCTGGCATTCAGTAGAGAAGTTTGTCAATAGTATACTTTATAAGTATATTGAAAACTGCACAGATTTTGCACATGGATGCCTGAAGGCAGTGAATTTTCTAAATACTGAACTTTCTGGAGAGTTGTCATCTATCCTTTAAAATACAATTTTTTTAAAAAAATTGCTTTATTACATAATCATAATCTAATATTGATAAAGTAGGGAAATTTTATCACCAGTACGCTGCTGAAAAGCCATCCTTTTAACATGCATTTTCATGTTATTGTAAATTAATTTTTTTAAACAACATGATGCATACTTAATGCTGTCTTGTCAGAATAGTTGCTATTAATATATCAGACACATAAAAAGTTAGATGAATTTGGCTGCCTTTTATTAGGGTGAAATTGAGCAGCCTGATTACAGTCTTCCTAATGCATTAGTAGTAACCAAGCCTCTTTTTCCTCTATATGTTGAGTATCGCAGTAGTCTTCGTTTTCCTTCTTCCTTTAGGTTGTAGATAATTGGTGCGAGTGATACATTTAATTTGCTAATTCTCCTCTAACACAATTTACTTAATATAAAATTTGTTTTAAGATATACACAGTAACAATGCATTCGATTCTGTGGAGTCACCCCCCCTCCCCCGTGACTGCATAGATAAATCAGAAACAAGAATAAAAACAGTTCTGCTTTTTAAAAAAGAGAATTGTACAAATTAAATATTGGGAGACATGCCCCCTCCAGGTACTACAGATGAAATGAAGGTTAAATAGGTTGATGGTTTTAAGGTCATGACACATAAAGTGTGTAATTTATCCTGGTTTTTGGCAAGGTTGCTCCTTCAATTGCCCATTTTCTTGTTTGTTTTTCTTTCAGCATGTATTTATGTTAATTATAGAAATATTTATATAACAAGCTTTCACTATCAGGGAATTCATACCTGTAATGAATGACTTTCATATCTGTGAACAACTTGTAAAAATTAAACTGTATCATATGTATAAAATATAAGAATAAATGCTTTAGGTGTTGTTGATATTTAATTAATGCTTGAATCTTGCTCACTTTTTAAAGAGACTGTTCTGTTGAATACTTTAATTGCTAACTTGTTAAAAATGCCTTGGATACATAGCATCTCTGGTTCCCATTAAAAAAAAAGTTTTAAATATTGCAGTCAGCCACATCATTCTACTATGCTTCTCAGGGTTGAGCTGAAACAATTCAACATTAATAAAATTAGTACCTCAGAAGTTACTTTTAAGTAGTTTTTATGACTGTATTGTACTGTATCACATGATTTATACATATCTAAAAATAATAACTTCAGTAATTTGATGATTTAATAATAATATTTTTTACATTTTCCAACATTATTCCTGAACAATCTTATGTGTTTTTCTATAATCTCTTCAATATGACTCAGGTATGGAAAGATTATTTTGTAGGATAATCTTTCAGTTCTAGGAAGCAGGCAATGGCAAACCACTTCCAAAATGTTGCCAAGAAAACTGCAGGGACTTCTCCAGGTAGTTGCCAGGAGTTGGGACCAAAAAAAAGAAAGAAAGAAAGAAGACAACATCTAAATCCCTCATAACTGTAACATGAGAAAAGTTTGTATTTTAGTATTTCTGGAATACTTTTTAAAAATTACTTTATCACTTATATTCTGGCTTATTAATTCAGCAAGAGAATACCATTAGAATAAAGATGCTTCTGTAGTCTTCTTTTGCTCCAGCTAAGCAGTGTATGCTTAAGGAAGCAACTGTTGTCAAGCATTAGGTGCCCAGAACAGAAGAATGTGTGAAGGTTAATCTTGTAAATTGTATTAAGGTTACTTAGGAATAATTAGCTCTGAGAAAGCCGTGTATATTTTCCACTCCTGGAATGTTTCATTAAGTATTAATGTCTTAGAAAAAGAGGAAAACGTTTACTTGCTTTCTTTAGTACACATTTCTAAATTTAAGCAGAAATGGAATTGCTACACATCTTAACAGGAGAAATATTAGTATACAATAAACTGTTGTACAAACTCAGCACAATATGTGCTTTTTACAATCACAAATCGTTCGTACTTTCAGTACTTTGGCATAATTTTTGAAGTTGATATGGATGTTTGAAAAAAGTTGGGCTGCCTAAGTGAATAATTGAGAGGTGCTAAAGCATTTCTTCCAAATAATTTTCAAGGATGAAGAGCCTTTCTGCTTTTACTGTTCTACCATATTTTTTCACTATTTTGTATATTAAGAAATTGTAATTGAAAATAACCCAAATCCTTTGTTAGAAAAATATAGTGGTAATCAAAAATCTTACAATTTTTTGTAATAGTACCTACAGTATACTCACATTTGGAAAATCATATCTATAACCTCTTTTATTTGACAGGACAATTACAAGCTGATTAATAGAATATGATGGTGTCAAAAGACCCTGATAAATTGGAATTCTTCTACATCTTCTACAATAGTTCTTTTATGATTTTTAGAAATATTGTTGATCAATTTTTCTCTTCCTTTGAAATACGTAATTTTCATACTAGGGCACCTTACTGAAAAACATTTAACTAAATCAAATGGAATATATTTCCACTCTTTTACTTCTCAATTCAAAGAAAGCAACATAATAATTGAGATTATGCTACTTCAAGGGAAAAGAGAACAAGAATAAATTCTCATACAAAAAATATACATAATTGTTGTGTGGGATACAAATCTGATTCTGCTCTGTTTACTGATTACAATGAATATCCTTGATCAGTTGTGATCATTGGCAACTGGAAATAAATTAAAATTTTCTGATATGGCAATAAAAGAAAGTATTGAGTAAAAAAATAAAACTAGATAAAACCCCCATCAATGAGAAATGATAGTTTGAGTTGATTATGTTTAGACTTGAGGTAAATTTTAATGCAATACAATAAAAGTCTGGAATATTTACAGAACATTTGTATAACATACAAAGAATTAGCACAGTGAAATAGCCCCAATGAGATTTCTGAAACCTTCCTAATTAAACCTTTTAGTAATTGCTTTATATGAATACTTGACTCATATTGATCTAATTAGATCCATGCTAAACCAGGATTATACAAAAACTAAGGCTTCTGTTAGCATATTATGTTCATATTGAGTCTTGCAAATATAGGAAATAGATTCCCATTTCCCTACTTTTCATCTCTGGTTTAGAAAACTATCGTCATGGAACAATCACAAAACTCAGCAAAGACTTAGAGGACTGTCCTAATACTTTAAAATATACCAGCATATATTGTAGGATTTGGATGTTATTTGAGGAAACCCCCAAAATGTCATTACGAAAAATACAAGCAAAATGACCGCTTCAGAAGAAAGGTAGCATATGCAGAATTGAATAAAGATATAAATTTTTTCTCACTCTTCATATTCAAGCAATTATCAAACAGTGATAGTTCTTCAACTTCAACACTTGACATAACTGCTGTTATTAAAACCCTTGCCTGAACATTATCATCACTTATTGGGACTACTGCAGTATAATTCCTTGTGGCATTTCTACCTTCTCATCTCTCCTCCCCTACTTTTTTTTTTTATTGCTAAACTCCCTTCCTTGATCATACAAGCTTTCAACCTTATTCCATTTCATATCACCTTTTTTCCACTTCAGTATCACATTTTTTAATTTCAAAAGTTTTGCTATTCTCTTCATGACTGCAGCTTCATGATTAGGAAAGAACTACCAACCACTTGCTGGTTTTCCATTTTCTGCACCATTACAATGCCATCAGTCAGGCAAAGGTCCTAGTTTTAGCTGCTGCCTCTTCCAAATAAATGGAACCCAGGGCCCCAAAACTGGAGAAATGAGCACCAGTGAAAACATCTGCCAAGGTAGACTTTTGATCTTTAATATAATTTAACTTAGACCTCAGAAGAGGCTTTGTCAACAAGCACCTCCTGTCTGTAACTGCTGCCACTTGTCTCGTTGAACAACTTTATTTTGCTTTTTATTGATCATAATAACATTAACTCTTCCTTCGTTACTCTTATCAAAGGCTACAAGACTCTTGGCTAAATTCCACAACTAGGCTGCTGATTAATAGGCAGACTTCTCTGCTTTCTCTTGGGAAAGGCTAACCTGGCAAAGATGTGTTTATGTAGTGCCTGTGTGAGTGCTTCATATAAGACAAAGATATTTATTTAACTC